AAGAGAGTTATTTTGAGGTATTTGCTACTATGAAATGAAGCTTACATATGCAGCAGTAAAGAGACACTAAGCACTCCGTTTCTCATTTATTTCAGGCAATGACAGTGGTAGAATTTAAACCCTCATGTGAGATGAGGGCACAACCAATAATGACATGGTATAGAGTTTGTTTTCTACATAGTCAAATATATAAAAGTTTCATGAAACTCATCACTGGGACAGCCAGCAGTCAGTCCATGAGTTGTCTATTCAGTTAGACCAAGCTTCTTCTTCAGAGATTCTGGCATTTCAGGTGGAGGTGGGCGAGGAAGTCTGAAATAAACCTTGACAGAATCATAGATGAACCACTGTAGTGCAGTCAGGGTACCAATCATGATGATACGGGCAAACAGACCTTTCCATACACCTGGAGAGCAAAACAAAAAGCATGAGCAGCTTTTTTTTAACATGGCATATTTTTCATGGCATGAAAAAAAGAAATCCTCCCCAAAACACTTGATCCAAAATACATGACAAGTAAGAATGTACCTTTGAATCCAAGCCTCACAAGAACTTGTGAAGCTGAGCTGCCCCTTTCTTTGTTCAACACAGACACCACAGAGTCAGCAGGATGGGAAACAATTGCACAGAACACACCAGCTGAAAGAATAATTTGACGTTAGTTTGGTGGTGTTTTACCTGTACCATTACTGTGCACACAAAGTACAAACAGCTGAAACTTCTGAACACAAGAAAACAATCAGAGGAGAACTTCTAAATCTCTGGATACTGAAAATCTTCCTTAAATACAAATTTATCTTACCTTCCCACGACTGAAACAAGTTTTCACTTAAAGATGCAAGTTTTCACTTAAATCAGTTGCAGTTTCTAAATCTGGCCTTCAACATTGGTAATATATACGAACAGTTAAGAGTAGTGTTCTATTAGAGACCTATCTTACCCTAACAGACCGAATCTATTTATTTCCCCTGCACATTTAAAGTCGAAACTAAGTTCTCCCATGTTAGGAACACCAACTCAATATTCTGAAAAGCAATAGGTCTCTAGGGTTGCAGTAAACCATTAATGAAGTGTAGGACTTAAAGTTTACTTACCAATATAGCCTGCAACAAACGTAACTACCAGCTGCTCTCCTTTTGTACATTCACTTCGTGGCTTGGGAACAACGTACTTGTAAAGAGCTTCAACAGTACGTTCAAAGCAGGCAAATTTCATCATTGTGTATGGGATCTGTCTCATCCATAGTGGAGCAACACCTTTATAGAAACTTAATCAGAGAAGAGACAAACTCAGTTTCATTTTCTTCAGTATTTAAGGTATATTTCTAACTTGAAATAAATTAGCTTATTTATTGCTGCTATCAAGAATACAACTTCTACATACTAACTCTGTAATGTTGCCAGTATCTACACAAATTTGAGCTGTATTTTTGTGAGCACTATCTTAAAACAGCAACACAAATTAAAATTTTACTGATCCCCAGGCTGCACAGCAGGTTCTGTAGTAATTTTTCAGATTATAGTAACTGCAGCAATATAGAACAGATCCTACCAGTGCAACAAGGCTAATGTCTGCATACCAGCCAAGTCCTGATAGTGAGACATGACCTGTATATCAACAGCCACTTCTATCAGAACAGAAAGCTAACATGCAGTTGTATTACTCTCACATGCCAATGACTCAAGCATCTTTGACTGTACAACCAGAAAGTTGCTGAATATCTCTGACTGGAACTGCTAGAAACTGAAGTTACCCAGCAGAACTCAGCACAAAGATACCCACAAAGATGGATCTAAGGAGCATGTGGAATTAACAGCCAGCTCAGCACAGATTTCCTGGTATGTGTTGTTATCTTGAAATACAACAGACCAAAAAGTATTACAAGCTAAAGCCAGAATTAGTTATAGCAACAGTTTCACATTAAAAAAAATAGTGAACATCAGGAACTTCAACTAAAATGAAGAGATGCTTACGCCCAGATGCCTTCTTCTGCAAACATTTTAGGTAAAGCCTGCCGTAGAGTGTTCGCATATCCAGGCTGTGTCTGAATACGAACTTTAGCAGCTTCCATTGGAGCCAGAGCAATGTCAGCAAAAAACTCTGCACTGGCAGATGCGGCTAAATACAGCGAAGTACGCCACAAATAGGCGTTCTCCTGCAATGAATTTATAACACACATTTTTTATCAATAAATGATGCTTTCATGATTACTCCTTATCACTAATGCTATTATGCTGCAGACATATAGCTTTATGTAAAAGGCTTACCTCTCCCAGCATGTTGCCATACAGGATTTTGAAAACTTCATAGAAACCAAATTTACAAAGCCCTTGCATGGAATAGCCAATGAAGGTTGGAGCCCATCCCTTAGCCAAGCCACGAACACCATCTTCTTTGAGTGTCACTGAAAATCCATTGAAGATACTCTTATATTTTTGTGGATCAACCTAAACATAATAGGCAATTAAATGTTTGATATTGCTTAAACTATTTTCCTTCTCAAACCCCCATCCAAAATTTTTAATTTTTTAATTCCTCAGCCAGCCGGCTTCCTGTAATTCCCTGGAGAGATGTGTTCCCTGGTGGTACTCATCACCAAGTTACACTAATGTAACCATAATGATTACTTGCTAGTCACAAACCCTGGCCTACTTTAACAGCCAGTAGATTCCTCAATACTAAGAAACCACCAAATTAAATTTCATTTTATTTTAATTCTCCAAATCAACATTAACTGAAGTCACTTTTCTAACACTGTCAGCGGCACACTGGTGCAACTATGTATAGATCGGATTTTTTAAAACTTTAATGAGTCCTGTCAGCAATCTCATCCACTTTCACACGCTATACCTATGTATCCTCAAGCATTGCCAGAAACCTAATGATTCATGTGATTACTAATCAGAGAAGGTTGTGTGACATGTGATCTCTCCACACAGTCAGATGGGGCAAAGACAGATCAACAGTRCTCAAAAACTTCTACACTTGTACTTTGACTCGGCCATAAAGATTACATTACACACAAATTATTTTYGGCCCACAAAACGGAGTGAGATTTTATTAACTTATCAGAAATTTTAAAAAGACTGACTTGAATAACTTTGTTTCAGGTGAAAGGAAGTAATTTAGCAGAAACTCTTCAACAGGTAATTAAGTCACATCCCACCGTCACTTTTCATATTTGACATCATCCAACAGTTCCTCAGAGGATAAGAAGGAAGACATCAAACTGGAAGCTAATCAAAGCTTTCAGAAAGAGCTGTAATACATGCATGCCAACCTGCATTAACTGGTATTTTGTCTTGCAGTCTAGGGACAACATAATTGAGATCTAATTCACCTAAATATGGTAATTTTAAAAAGAGACATAATTTTAGAAAATTGGATATTTAATCAGGCACTGTAAAATGAGACTATGTTCAAGTCAGAACCATGCTTAGTTATTAGGTGTGTAACAGGTGTCCTGGTTTCAGTTAAACCATAGCAAAGGTGACCTCTTCTTATAAAGACATGAGAGGGCWGGCAACAGGTTTCTTCCTGGAAAACTTAGGAAGGATTAGTGACATGCTCTGTACTGGATCTGTAAAGAGATAAATGCTGACAGGTTTTACAAGATCACACCTGGAATCCACATGGAACCCCACCTCCTGAACCTTCCTTTAAGTGCTGGAGAGGGAAGAGGAAGTATCACCACCCTTACCATGTAATAAACTGGAACTGGTAGCCCACACTGAACATGTCTGATGTGTTACAGATTTCCTAGTGAGACCAGAATTTCAGGTGCTTTCAAGAATGTGAAAAAGCCTCTCCAATAAACAATGTTAAATTAAGGCCATCCAGAAGAACAYGATTTTGAAGAACAGCATTTTCATACTCATAGTATGACTAGAGGTCTGACTAATTCCTAGTTCTCTCCTAATTTCAGGAATTCTATAATTACAAAACGGGCATTTTTACAACCAGCGTCAGCCTATTCAACAGGGAAATTAGCTACTACATTTCCAAAAATTTAAGAACATGCTTTTAGTTTGCTTCATTCTTGAAGATTTACCTAAATAAATCCATTAGTATGCTTTCATCCRTGGCTGTTCATAAGCTGATTTGAATATGTCAAGTGCAATGCAATGACACTCCTTTCAGTTCAATCGAAAACCACTTCGAAGAAAGCAGTTGCAAGCACCACTGGCCTTCCTGATACCAAAGCAGTTTTAGCCACTCTATTCAAAGTGGCATCATTAGAAAATATCCAATCCATAAGCCATGCACTGATATCCACAGTGTTAATGGATCAAATTACACATGCATGTCATTCCAGGCTAAAAAACGTAGATCAGAAAGATATTATTTCTTTACTCCAAAAGCACTGGAATAATGCTGGACAGCCAACCAGCCAGCAGAGTAACACTGTAGTGGGTGCCTTTTAGCAAATATAGTCAGTTAAATATGCCTTAAATCCTGTCACAAATAATAACTTTACTACTCTCAAAAGTGGTATTTTGCTAGTCTTATGGCAGTAGATTTCACAAAACAGCATTCAAGTTTACTTGCTTCTTTTCACCCCCAAAAGATTGCATCCCTACTGCAAACTCTTAATATGTTGGCTATATAAGAAATAAAAGTTCAAGAAATGTTCAAATTTATACAAACCTGCATACGACATTTCACTAGATCCAGAGGTACGACACCAGTGTGTGTCAGGCCACAACTTAGGACCCCRCCAACGCCACAGAGAGCATAAAACTTGAGCGAGCCATATTCACAACTGTATTCTGCAGCAAAAAATAAAGACACACCATGCTTTTATATAAGCCCCATGCATTGTTGGACAGCGATGCCCAGGATATAGTTTATGCCTCCAATTCATTAGTAATTAAATATACCACACTATACATGCGGTGTCACCACATAGCAACATGCAGAACAAACCTGCATTCTGCATTTAACCAGGTCTAGAGGAACCAGGGCCGTATGTGTTGTTCCACAGCTAATAATCCCACCAACGCCACAAAGCACAAAGAATCTGTTTGACCCATATGCACAGCTGTATTCTAGTTAATTGGAAAAGAATTACAAATATATGATCAATCATAAATGGTAACAATGATCAGAAATGAAACAAAAGTGCTATTTTCTCAAAATTATTACTGAAATAATCTCTCATGCTGTATTATTTGAACATATTATCATCAAAAATAATTACTTTGTTATCATAAAAAATAATTATTTTGCTTCAAATTAAAACATTTTAGACTGACAAGATTCARTTCTAAGCCTTCGAAACTGAATTTGCTCCTTTAAATAAGCAAAGGAAGAAACAGTGAAGTTATAGCTCAGAGCACACTCAAACCATAGAAATTACGCCCAGGAATTACTCACAGAATTTATGACTCAAAGTTGCAACATCCAACAATTTCTTATATCCAGGAATTAAGGAAGAATAGCATTCCTCTAGTACTCAAAAGACAAAGCTTCTTTCATTAAATGTTTTATGACAGTTTAATTTCTGTATTTAAGTAGAGACTATAAAAATCTACAGTATCAGTGTTGGGAGATATGCAGATATATTTTCAGGTATCTTTCAGATTATTTCTACAGATTATTGAAAAATTTTCTTTTAAATACAAAATTTCAAATGTATACAGTTTGTCTGATGGAATTGCACATTGCTATTAATCGTCCCATTGAATACTCATACACAAGGCTCATTACAGAATCTTTCAGAACATATTTAAGCAAGGGATACTTCATATGCACTGTTCCATATGGTCTATATACTTTGCACAAACCATCCAATCTTAAAATAAAAAGTTACTAATTTTCACGTATTCCTATACAGCAAAGTTACTGGAGTGTGAAAAAAATAATCCATTTTCTTCTTTCATTTTTGAAGAGGCTACAGAGGGTATGAGTGCAAACAAAAAATGCTCAAATTTACAATAAACAGTACAAAATCAGCATGAAGCAGCAGCATAGTTCTGCTACTATGCTCAACATTTTAAATACCTAAGTAATAGCAAAACTAATATACTGAATAAGAATACAGAAAATAATACACTATATAGAAAATACTCTCTAAAGTAGAAAGGCATATTCTTCTGCTACCAAATCTAAGGATGTTACTTCAGTAGACATTAAAACATTACAACTTMATAAGAACTATCTCCAAGAACTACTAATGAAAACGAAAAGACAGCAAAAGCTATCTTATGCAAAGCTTCTTTGCCCAGTCGTTATRGTTCTGCATTCCTTCATGAACATCAGAGCAGCAGATAACACTAGCAGGCTTAACAAACTCTTAACTTTGCCATTTTAAGGGAACTACTTCCCACAAATGTTCCAGATTTCACATTACACTTTATATTTACTTTTTTTACCTTACTCTTAAAAATTACCAAAACAGTAAAGTTTTTCTTTATTCTAAAATAATAAATATCAATTCACAGATGCCATGGTGAACCTAAGCTTAAAGCTAGAAATCAGTTATCAAAATAACTTATTTTTAATTGAGACACTGCTGAAGACTGTAAATACACTAGTCTAGGACTTACATATACTTCCAAAAYAGCCTGGCTGTGCTAGCAGATTTGCAGACAGCAGAAATGGTCAGTTACTRACTTTCCAGAATGGCTGGTTAAATACACAACAGACTAGGTTTTCTAGTAGGTGTAATAAGAGAACAGACTTCCGTGGTCTGTTCAGGGCAGCTCTGTCCAGCTGAGTCTTTGGAGAACAACACAACAGCCCAGCACCAGCCACCATCCTGCCCAGATCTCAGAACTGTTTGTTCACACTGCCTTTTTCACAGTAATTTATTTTTAGAAGTCATACTCCTCAACTGACAGAGACAGACCTTTAGAGCAGTCACAGAAAAGTAAGAGTTTTTTGTATGTACTCTATTACAAWGCTATTCAGACTGACCTGGTGTTCAAACACAGTAATTAAGAAAGCCAACATCAATTAGGCTTGAGCTCTTTAGAATTGCCTAAGTTTCTAGTGGTACAGTAGTATTAGGAAAATAAAGCTGTAGATGATCTTGGACTTTTTATTTCAGAAGAAGAGCTTCCAACTCCCTAAAAACGATAACCCGCAAGGAGAACCAGCTGAACTACTCAGATACAAACACACCTCAAAAAAATATGCTCACTGTTGAGACAGTTAAATCGTAACTATTTCATATCTCTGCTTCCAATCTGACACCTTTACAAGGACAAATTCCATGAGCTAGTAATAAAACACTTGGTCTATGAGCTGCATTGCTCATGTTGATGCCCTGGGCTGAACTGGGAAGGTTGTGTGGTTTGTACTGACTTTGTGTGACCTTGTGCAAGTTCAGATATCTTCTGCAACGTGTTATGTTCTCAACAAAAAAGCCAGAGAACCAACTGGTACATGAAATAATGAACTCAGCAGAAGAGATTACAAAGACTGAAAAACTCTGGCCACCTTTGACCACAATTGCCTACAAACAGGATGAAGATTCAGCATAATGTTTTCAAGAAATAAGTACACCTACTGAATATATTTAGCATGCCAAAGAGTGATTTAGGGCTTTAGTTAGCTGGCAGTAGTATTACTACACTGAAAGCCACAAATAATTTCCTGAAAACTTTGTAAGACCTAACACGGAGTTCTCTCTCTTTCATGTATTATATGTTCATGCAAGTGCACAAAAATATTTCAATAATTATGSTACTTGAGAATAGGTAGCTTGCTGAAATTACTTTTTCTTTAAGTAAAACCAAAAACATGTTTTAAAGTTATTGACAGCTTAAAAGAATTAGAATTTTAGTAACTACCTCCACTACYATTCATTCCTTCAGATGCACCTCATATTGAAGAGGCATGCAGAGTTTTATTATTAAGTTCAACAAAGGCAAATGCAGAGACCTGTATCTGGGGACAAACAGCCCCATGGACCAGCACAGGCTAGGGGCCAACCTGCTGGAAAGCTGCTCTCCAGGSAAGGACCTGGGGGTCCTGCTGGACAGAACAAGCTGTCCATGAGCCAGCAGTGCCTTTGTGGCCAAAAAGGCCACTCCAACAGTATSCTGCAATGCATCAGGAAGAGCATGCCAAGCAAGTAGAGGGAAGTAATCTGCCCCTACACTCAACCCTAGTGAGGTTACATTTGGAGCGCTGTGTCCAGTTCTGGGCTCCTCAGTACAAGAGAGACAGGGAGCGGGTCCCGCAAAGGGCTACAAAAATGATTCAGGGACAGGAACACCTCACTTATGAGGAAAGGCTGAGGGCGCTGTGTCTGCTCAGCCTCGAGAAGAAGTGACTGAAAGAGGGCATCATCAATATCTGTAAGTATTGACAGGAGGRTGTCAAGAGGATGAAGCCAGGCTCTTCTCAGAGAGCCAAGCAASACGGCAAGAAGCAATGGGCAGAAACTGATACACAGGAAGCTCTATCTGAATACAAGGAAGGGCTTCTTTATTGAGGTGACCACACACTGACACAGGYTGCCCAAAGAGGCTCCAGAGTCTTGTACCCTGGAGATAGTCAAGAACCATCTGGACACATTCCTGTGCAATCTTCTCGAGGATGACCCTGCTTGAGCAGGGAGGTTGGACCAGATGACTCACTGTGGTCCTTTCCAACCTTACCCATTCTATGATACTACAAGTATCACCAAGGTCTGACCTTTAGAAGTCAAAAAAGTGGCTGGCAAACAYACAGGAAGCATGTACACTTAACTCTGAAGTGCATCACTGTATCTTAAATAGCAAAGTTATCTGGTGTATGCTCCACAGCAACTAAGAARAAAAAGATAATTAAAAAACAACAGCGGCAAGCACCTCTAATATATCTCCGTATTTTGATACTCTGCTATAAATAAATTCGTGAAAAAAATAAAAGAAAAAGGGAAAAAGGATGGGAGAGATGGTCTTTCGAATCCACAGAGTCACTCAYTGCTCTTCTCCACCGATGAAGGCAGTACAGGCCTACAACCTCAACGCCCGAGGCTGCAGGCCCTGCAGAGCCAGAAAAATGCGCTCTCAGCTCCCCAAGACAATTTCTACGGGGGAAACTCTGCACTAGATCCTTCCCGTGTCCTTTCCCAGAAACCCCGGATCCCTTCTGCTCCTCAGCACACGCCGCAGGGAGAGCGGAAGCGCTGCCAGCACCTCCCCCGCCCGTGCCCTTCCTCGTCCTCCAAGCGTGCGCGTAGGCCCAGCGCCGGCCCCTCCCGGCCCGGCCGAGCCCCGCTGCGCTCCGACCCTCCCTGCGCCATCCCGGCGGGCACAGGCCCGCGCTGGCGGGGGCAGCACAGGCATCACCACCCCGGACGGTCGCGGGCTTCACCTCCGCCGCGGCCCTTCAGCCCCCTCTCACCTGAATCGGCGGACGCGGCCGCCAGGGCCCGCCGCGTGGTGGGGGCCTCCGCGGGGTCCGCCGGACGCTTCCTCACGCCGTCCTGCACCAGCTGGAAGTGCGGCGCGTAGAACGGGTTGTGCCGCGCGAGCGGCGCGATAGACGAGAACATGGCGACCTAAGGCGGGCGAGAAGAGCACAGCAACGTGGGACCGGGAAGCCACGGCACGGCACGGCCGCCGGGCCCCGGCTCCGCACCCGCGAGGCAGGCACTGSCTCCCCGGAGCTGAGCCCGGTCGCCGGCGGGCGGGCGGGCCGCGCCGCCCCGACTCACCTCGCAAGATGGAGCCGCTGCAGCAGAGGCTGAAGGCGGGCGCCGCGCCGTCACCTTGTCCTTCGCCGCGCCAGGGGCGGGGCCGCGCACAGCGACCGCCCCACGATTGGCGGAGCCGCCACGCCGATCGCGCGCACGCGCAGCCGCCGCCCTCCCGCCCTGGGCCTGCGGGGCCGCGCTCACCCGGCAATGGGGCCCGGCCCGCCCCTCAGCGCCCCGGCACCGAGGGGACCCCTGGCTGCAGCCCCCCGCACAGACACGGCTGCCCGGGACTCGGGCTCTGTGAGCGCACCCTCCGSCGCTGAAACCCGCGCCTCAGCTTCTGTTTCTTCCTTATCGCCTCCCGGCTCGGGGAGCTTGCCAACTACGCCACGTGCTCCCCGCAGCCTTGCCCTGGGCAATGTCAAACCAGAGACACGCCCGAATGCGAGTTCCTGTGCTGGCCTTGACTCTTGGCACTTACACTGAATCACAAAAGCATCAGGGTTGGAAGAGATGTTTAAGATGTTATAAACTCATATGATAGTGTTAGCTTTCGCAGATATTAAGTCGAGTGTTATGTGCACAATGTTGCCTTTTTTGCATAAATAGCTTAGTTATGCAGACAYAGTGTGAAAAACGACGTTCACTCTCCTGTTAAAATTTAAAAGATTTTAATAAATGACAATAGGGTACATAAAAGCAAAAGGATATGATGCCTGATGCTTGGCGATCTGCCAGAGGCACACTTACTATTGACAAGAGACATTTTTAAATACATTTCRTATTGCATCAACTTAATGCTTAATCATAGGCATTTATGCATATTCAAACTTTTCCCAGAATTGTTTAACATGGATCTGCCGTTTTAGAGCATGAGCAGTGATGATTTTTATGCCCCTGTTCTGTGATTCATCAGATGGTCCTTGTTGATGGAGAAGTGTCTGCAGCAGGGGCYCCTAATGGGTCACGACACCCCTGGCCTGTCCATTGCAGATAYGGTTGTCTGAAGGTTGGGGGGTCCCATCAGCAAGTTTCCTTTGGACGTTCCACGAGCTCTCTTGACTAGAGACTTTTCCCCAAAGCCTCTGTTCCTTCCACCCCACCCTTTYGCTGTCAGGGTTTGTGCTGGCCTGGCAACTGATAGTCCTGGGGCGATGGCCTTTCTACCCCTGAAGTGTTAAGCATCATGATCTCTTTGTGAATGTATGCATCCTTTTCCCCAGTTCTGAGCTGCTTCTAATCTTTAAGGATCACTGCTGCCAGGGCCTCATTCAGGGTTTTTTGGTGACTTTCTTTGCAGCTTTTGTATAGTTTTGCTATAATATGAAAAATATCCTTTATGGAAATAAACGTTTAAGTCACAAATCATAATACTTCAGTTTAACCACAAGTATTCTATAACTATATCTGAGTCACAAAAGAAAAACAGTGATAATTTTCACAACTATGTCTGCATAACTAGACTTCTACAAATAAGACAATATTATATCATGATGCACAACACATAGCATCTATCTTTAATCTCTGCGAAAACCAACCAACACTGATATGTTTATCACCATAGTAGTGAAATAACTGATGTTTTTGGTTTTCTAACTCAGATACAGTTATAATACAGCTGATGTTGTTGTTTTAGAGTACTTGTGGTTAACTTCCAATAACTAAAGTGTTATGACTTGTGATTTAAATATTTCCATGAAGGATTTTTTTACCCATTATAGTAAAACTATACAAAAGCTGCAGGGAGAGCCCTGGCTGCAACTACACTGACTAAAAGATAAGGAGAAAGGAATGCATGAGAAAAGGATCACAGCTTGACACCTCCGGCATCTCCCCAAGGCTATCAGCACAGATGCTGACCTGACCCAAAGGGTGAGGTGGAAGGAWTAGAGGCTTTGGGATGTGTAGTAGAAAAGTCTCTGGTCACAGGAGCTCGTAAAACAGCAGTGGTCTGCTGTGAAAAGGAGCCTAGCTAGTGGAACCCCAACCTTGSGTTGAGCTTATCTGCATGGAAAGGCCAGGGGTGTTGTGACCCATCAGAGGCCCCTGCTACGGACACTTCCCTGTCAACAAAAAACATCTGCTAAAATTATGGAACAGARGTCACACGCATGTGACCCCAGGAGTATAAACATCCATATTGTAAGAAGGCAGATCCATGTTAAACAGTTCCTAGAAAAGTTTGAATATGCATAAATGTCTATGAATAGGCATTAAGCTGATGCAGCACAAAATGTATTTAAAGAGGTTTCTGTCAATACCARGGGTGTCTTTGGCACACCGCCAAGAACCCGGTGTCTCCTAGGGCACTGTATCCTTTTGCTTTCTGTCCYCTATTATCATTTATTAAACTTTTAAATTTTCACAGCAGAGTGAACTTAGTTTCTCACGAGATCAAGTCCAACCCATTTTTTAAGATTAAAGGAAGCCTCAGTATCGCCCCAGGTTTCGGTCTGGTAATCACATCTATTAATACTTCATAATCGCTGTCTGGTGAAGACACAGGATGCAATTCCCTCTGCAGAAAGCTCATCACTCTCACCAGGCTCTGGATGCAGCATTCTGTAAGCACCAAGCTCACTGTCTAAAGCCTCCATGGCAGAAGTCTACCTTTGGAGGGTAAGCTTGCAGATCATTGTGACAAGGCCTATGTTACAAAAGCAGCAGCTGCTCACAGAATTGTTTCTTACTAAAAGCAGAATGTTATGTAACGCAGGACCCGTGCCCAGCCTTACTTATCTTAAACTACACCTTTTCCAGCACAGGRTGATTTCACTCTTTTTAGTGATTTACACAGTACAAGACTAGTGCAGCACAGTTCAGCTCTCCAGTTACCAAAGAGGCAAGAACTCCACTTTTTCACCATTTTGATAATATTCTTTCCTTTGTAGTGCTCTGTAACAACATAGACACAGAAGCCAACAAAGCAAGAGTCATGAGCTGAACATCCCAGCTATTACTTCTGGGCAAATGACAGCACACTGGCAGCACCACACCGAAGAAACACCCCACTCTGGTCAGCTTAGTGACTCCTATTGAGCTTCCTTGGTTTACTCCCTCTTTCCTAACGAAGTTGATCCAGGGAGAGTGTCCTACAGACATAAGTGCCCAATAACACTGTCACAGAAAACAAGGTTGGTTAATTGCCTCTTGAATAAACTAGAATCCAGCTGCTCAGTAGGAATAGTCAAATGAAACTCAAACTRTTCAAATACTTTTGTTTAGCTGAGAGCACAAAGTGCTGTTCATCTCACTGCCAGGGCAGCGATGAAAGCAAGCCAGAATTGTTCATTTTACTCGTTTCGCTCCACTCACCTACATCTAAATAATTGCTGGTAACTATGTTTTAAATAAAAGCCAAACACCAATACTTATTTTCAATTAGCTGATAGTCTCTAAACATGATTGAGGTTTCGGGGTCTCCATCTTGAAATGGCATATAAATGTTTGCAATTCTTGTAGATTTCTCTGATTGTTAACATAGAAAAGGTCTGTTCCTTCCAATTATAAAGGATGAACAAATGACTATTTATAGACATCTAATGGCAATTTGTGTGCACAACCGTACACTTATCAGTCTGAACAGTTTGGTTTTTAAGTGACAATTGACTTCTAACAGCTGTTAGCAAGAACTACTAAACAGCAGTCTAACATAGCCCCATGAAAATACAAGGATAATATATGTTCCCGCTGAATGCATATAATTTTACACAGAAAATATCTGTAACTCTTCCCAGATGTGAAGGAATAAAATAGCAATAGCCTGTAAYTCAAACCATCTAGATTAATCTGATTTCTGAGACACATTGCACGTAGTAATAGGTGAAGACTTGGAAGATCTTACCTTGTAGTGTCAATCTCTGTCAGATTCCCAGCAAAAAAAACGCTATTGTAAATTAAATCCATCTTTTTAATTGGTAGCTCTTCCAGTTTTATGAGATTAGGAAAATTCCAGTATGGCGACTCCAAAGTTTTCCTAATTTCATCTATCCCAATACCCACCATACACCCTTCATTTCCCACCCACCCCAATTTCCCCTCAAACCGCATACAWTCAGGAAAATGCAGGCTAGTTCCTGTCTTATAATAGCTTTTCACAGCTCTWACATTTTGGTGAAGCCTGCAAGCAAAATCAAAGCTCTTATAAGCTTGTTGCCCAGGTGACATTGTTTTCAAACATATACAATGAGACAGTGAAACAACCATCCACACCTTTGATAACCAGGTTAGCAGAGCAGCATCTGCTCTGTTTGTAAACATGGATTTCATGTACATTTTCCTTGTTTCAACACCAGAACTACTAGAYCATGATGCTAGAGTCAGTAATGGATCAGGCTTTACAGCCCAAGGGAAGCCTTGCAGCGATTCCTTCACCAGGATCCAAGTTTCCATGGTTGAACAGGAGTCACRTACTTTGAACACAGGAAGTAGTGAAACCTCTATTCTTATTAATTGCTGCCATGGCTGTCCTCATTTAATATTTCTTTAAATTTTTTCTTYCATTCTCCTCACAGGTTACATGTTTTTTCTCTATTAAACACTGTAAATTTTTTTCCTAAAAAAACAAATAAGACACTGCAGTTACTACATTTTAACCACARACTACTGATGCTGACAAAGGACTTCAGAGTGAGGTGGAACAGACAACATGCATTATTTTTTTTTCTTATATCAGTATATACATAGTATTTACAGGTGTCCATGCCACTTTAGGACTGCTTTACAAGTTCAATTAACTTTTAGATCCTGAGTTGTCTGAACACAAGCATGTACACAAAYGTTGTAGCTTGCTGTTGCACTGGTGCAAAGCAGCCTGGTATACTCCCTCAGGACAAAGAAAAGCAAGTCATCCAAGAGTTTTAGACAAAGATAGGCAGACTTACCAAACACACAGTAAAAGACATATTAAGAGACAACAAAGGGTATACTGAAACACCTACCTCTGCAAACACAAAATTTAAATTATATATCACAACTTACCCTTCTATTTATTCCACCCAGTGTTACGTAAGCCATATCAAAGCAAGTCAAATATACTGTGCACAAAACAATCCACACAATTTTACCAGCTTCATTTGCAATTACATAAATTTTACTGCTGAACAGTCTTCTTTGGGAGCTCTATTTAAAGTACTCATCTTTTCTGCTTAGACTCTGCACAAACTAGTTAACATATTTTTAAGATACTTAGAAAACTAGCAGAGAAGCTAATTAGGAGGAATTTTTATATCATGTAGAGTTGTTTTTTAAGTTGTACCACAGGAAACAAAACACATAGACCAAGTCTAGGARGGATCCAAAATCATTCTGTAGGGCAATGCTGAGTATGCTGTTATCAAGTAAGCTTGAAGTTGTTCCTTCACACTGTTTCCTATGGAAATACAATTCAAGATCTTAAAACACACAGAGAATTTAAATTTTGAGATACTTCTTGAAAATTTCTTATCTTAGACACTACTGAAGCTCTCAGTCTCACCCTGGATCGGATACCAGAAGATTAATCTCAAGACTGCAAGTGAAATCTTCTATGATCCACAGCCTGATACCAGGTGCCTGAGACTAGATGCATTTAGCATCAGAATTTAAAGGGAAAAACATTTAGCGTTCAGCATCAGAATTTAAAGGGAAAAACAATCTGTTAGCCCCAGTTCAGACTGGAAATCAAGATCTGCCACGTTTTCAGCACAGCATTCTCCGCAATATGACCACTCATGAGAACAAAACCCACTGAACCCAAAAAACCATTGCCATACCCATTAACTCTSACAGGCCTGYTCCAGGATTCTTGTAGCCCTTGCCTTAAAAGGGACTTCATCAATAGTTACTTACTACCTCAGAACTCCACTGGATTTTGGATAATAGTCCACAAAATCACTCTATTTTGTCATTGGTTCTAAAAGTTTAAGCTGGCTCTGTCTAAAAGACAAGAGGAACTAACAAAACAAAAATGAGTGCGTAAAAGGAAAAARCCAACATCAGCTCCTATTGCCTCAGCACTTTGATATAAAGACTACAGTATAATTGTATACTTCAGTATAACTTATACAACAGGGTTTAGAAGGCTTTAAGCACACACTACTCAGCTAATAGAACTACTACATGTGTTACTCTTAGAATACCATGAAAAATTAATCTCTGGGGTCAGGAAAAATATTCTACTCTCAGGACTACCTCAGCCATTAAATGTCTCAAGTATAAAAAAGCTTATTCCTTTCTTGAAGATGCATTGCCTTCCAACTACAACTGAACGAGTTGTGGGTTACTTTTGGAGCCTATCTAGAAAACTCTTTACCATCTGTGAAGTAACACTGACGTTGAGAGCATTCTCCAAAACCATACAAACATAAAAGAATGATGACATTTAATTGCAACAAAATTCAGTTTGCAATTTATTTTGATTGTGTTTCTTTTCTTTGATGCTAAAAATATTAGGAGGAGATCAATCGGACATATTTCATGTAGCTAGGTAAGGAAGATATATTTAATATTAAAACACACATCAAGTGGTGTGAGAAATAATATAATATGAAAAGGGAAGTTCCTTAAGCATTGAAAAACAAATGAAAGCTAACTTCTCCCCTCATCCAAATTAAAGGCCTAACAGAGGCTAAAGGATTATGGTGCAAAACTCTTATACTTCAATTATGATGAATATTCCTCCTGCCAAATGACATGAACTGATCTGCGTTTGCTCTAAGATTTTTAATTTTTTTTTTTGCAATATGGAAGACTGTAGCAGCACAAAATGACACCACCAATACATAACTTGTCTTGCTTTTGCTGCCTTTCAGCAATGCATTTATTTTGATAAGGAAAATGCACACACATTAAAATCATTTTTATTTTTCTGCATTTTTGACACCAAAAGTGAATGTCTTATGTTACAATTTTCTATAGGATGGACACAAGAAGTTTAGCTATTTGGATTACTCAAAAAAGCAGTTTAGAAGGAAAAAAACATTAAACAGGAAAAAAACCCCAAAACTATTGCTTTGCTACAAATTACCATGTTTGTCCCAAAGTTCACAGAAAGTAAAGCTTCCCCATAGCTACAAGTCTACACAATAATTGTACCTAGAGTAAAAAGATATTGACTATTAACTAATGTTCTCAGCTTTTTATAAGTAGCACTTTAAGAATAAGTAGTATGATTTATTGCAATTTTGTACCAAGCAATAAGACTGAACATCTGTATGCTGCAGATTTAAGCACACCAAAAATGTATACATTCACTTTAAAAAGTTGTTGCTTATCACTCTTCATTGGTAGTAGTGAAGTCAGCTGCCTGTTCAACCAAGTTACACAATAGTGTTTCAGCATGCTTCCACTGAGAAAATAGTCAATGGCATGAAAGTAGTAAATCTCACCTTAAAAGATGAAACTGTAGCAGAAAATGCAGCAATGCCCTCTTCATACAAGAATAAAACTTCATATGGAATTTTCACACTTTGAGAATATGTCTCTACATGAATATTTAAAGATAATCACATAAAGCTGTGTTGGAAAGATCTTGCTTTTTTAAAAAACAAAAAAGACCACTGCTAAAGTTGGAATTTAGACTGCTTCAGAAAACAATATTGACCCAAAAAACCAAATATTATGATGTAGTTTTTATTTCCCACACATTACTAATAAATAAGTTCCTCTAAGACATCTCTTGCCAATTAGATTTGTATTCAGCTCCTACAACACTGTAAGCACTAAAATGAAGGGATACATTTAAATGAAGTTACACTTAAACGGAGTTACTAATATGATACTAAGACTTTTACAGAAATGCAAACAGGTTTACAGTTACATTTACTAAAAAGTTACAGTAATCTACAGAAAAGGTTGCTGTTGTACTCGCTCTACATCCTAAGAGATCAAATTCAGTTATATTGTTACTGAAAAAATGCATACAGAAATGCACTTCCCTTTATCCCATGTTAAAATCCTTCTCCACTATTATCTAGAGACAGAAGTACAACTTCTTTTCTGTACAAAGGAAAAGCTTTAAAAACACAGCTTCACATTTTACTACATTTTTGCCCTTCTCAGCTTCCAAGTTCTTGCAAAACAAATATACATTTTCTCAAAAGTGAATTTAAAGGATGTCCACATTAAAAAAATAAAGCCTACAAAAAGTTCAAAGATTTAAAAAAATGTTACTCCTATGGCAGTGATCTCCTACTAGTCCAAAGTCCAGAAAGTTACTGATGTCCATTTAATATTATCTTTCTTCATTTATCCAATTTATCAGGTTCCAATCACATTATTTGTAAGAAGTCCTTGAGCCGATGAGAGGGCAGAAGAGTTCTCTACAATTAAAAACAGGAGATCAAATTGGGTGTGCCTTTCAGAAAGATATTCAATTGGCACTGCTCGGAGTGACCATTCTCAGGTATTTAGAGAAAGGATTTCCTTGATTAGTTTCCATTGACTGATAAACCAAAAACATGAAGACTGAAACAACAACAAAGAGAAGAACTTTTATCCACAGGGGAACTGAGTGTTCTTTTTTGATTGGTGGCTTCTCCGACTTGATGTCAGCCGAGGTACCATATTTTTGCGCATACTTAGAGAAACTTTCCTCCATTATGAAGTCACTGTGCTCTAGAGGCCGGCTTGCAGCTCCTTTGATTGGTCTACGGCAGCTAGCACTGTTAATTTAAAAAAAAAACAACCCTGAAATATTGCATATTTAGAAGAGCAATCTAAAGTACATAGGGAAGTTTTAGTATAATTAAAGAAATAAAAATTATTTCTGACGAATACAGTACCTGAAATACTATTTTTGAAGTTTGACAGATAGTGCTAGACATGTTAAAGTTAGATAGTGTTAAAGATAGACAATGTTCAAGTCTCAGGCGCTACTTCATCCTAGCCACATAAAAGGATCATAAACTGGCAATCAAASTGTAGAAAGTGGCTGCCTCTATTTGCTTCTTTAGTAATCACCAATACAGCCCCTCTGGGATTTCTAAACATTAGATTATCTCTGGCCAATAAAATATCTACTGATGGCTAAGCCTGTACACAGAGCCAGAAGACAAAGCAGTTAGGACTGAAAAACCATACGTACACAGCCATGTCCTTACATGCAAGGAGTACACATGTATGATTGTTATTTAAAAGAAAATAAGAAGTGGTATGGATTTAACTAGATCTCAAACCAAGAGAGCAAACTAAAGTGGTTAGCAGATACACTATAGTAATATTCTCTTTATGGTCAAGACTTTATGCAATGGCAGTTCAAATTGAAGCTATGATTAACATGTTGGAAATACAGGAGATGGTTTCACATCTTAATACAGGGAAACCTTTTCTCATCTCCTCTAAACAGAGCAGTTTTTTTAATTGCCTAATTAACCAGAGGGTTGCTTCAATTTTTGCTTAAAGATGCAAAATAAAATCAAAGAACCACCCAAACCCCACAAGTAATAGCCCTTGCTAGGTGCCACCCTTATTCATGCAAAGAGTAATCAACAGGCCTTCCACTTAAAAGAAAATAATAGGGTATCTGAAAGTTATTTTTGACTTTGCAAAAGACGACTCAAATATATGCTAGGAGATCTTTCCTTAATTTAACAGCAGCCCTAAGCAGTTGCATCTAGCCAAAAACCTAAATATTGCAAGTCATTATTACTTAAGAGCCCTTTCCATTTAACCTCCAGCATCCAAAACTTGCAGTAATAATTCCCACTATAGTATACCCTTCTATTTCAATTCTCCCTCCTCCCATTGAAATAAAGAGGAAGCTGTTTTGGTAGCACATCTGTGTATACAGAATAGAAAAATAGGTGGCCATCACAAATGTCATTGAGCCAGAGTGCACAAACTGTTCATCAGAACTCTATCAATATAATCAAAAGATACTTCTCAGCTTAAATAGGCTTACAAGAATTCAGAAAAAAGCCCCCATAAACATTTGAAATACCTAATTCCTGTAGGTGTTGATACTTCATAAGGGAACATTTCTTTAAGAATATCCCTTTCTACTCTTCTTTCTTCTGTTCTCTCCAGCACCTAGGAAACCAAAAACAGTTAGAGGCTGAACAGACARCAAAACAAAAAAGCTCCTGCATAGCTATCTCAGTGACCACAACCGTGTGCAATTTGCAAGAATGAATGGATCACCCAGTGAYATTCAAGAAGTTTACTTCTTGGGTTTTAGAAGTTTGTTTAACCTTAATTACTGGCAGCCATCTGGTCACTTTTGGTGTCTTAAAGTATTCRGTGATCTCCTCAGTTTCCTTCAAGATAAAGAACACATTGTGTAAATCCTATACGCCTGCCAGCCAATGATATAGATGACCAAAAAAACTTAACCATCACCTCTATCATGGCTGTGTTGAGCAGATCACAGGACTGGTTGAGGCCAACATGATTTAAAAAGCACTGATGTGGGTAATCTGTCTCTTCTTGCTGCAATAAACAATGCCACAGTACAGTAAAATACTGACTGAAAAAGCCTCRTCAGTGGTTTGGAGTAGAACATCAAGTTTATCCACAACCTTCTATTTGACAACTAAGTCTACGTTCCAGTCATATTGTAAATGAAGTGTTAATAGAAGCTTAATCTACAGTAACTACATGAACAGACAAGCAACATCTTGCAATGTAAAATTCCACACTATTACAGTATTACATTAATACAATTACATATACTTGCAGGTGCTTTAGTTCTCAGAGATATTTTTGACAGCTTGAATACGTTAACAGTAAAATAATTTTTTTTTTCTTGATAACTGACAGGAATCTACAGATGCTTTTTCAATTCAGGCATTTAGTCTAAAGTGATCCTACTACTTGATTACCTAAATTAAATCACACTGTATTTTTTCAGGATAGGCTAACACAAGCTCAGAGGGAGATAACGCAAGTCTTCTCTATTTTGAGTTATTCAAAGAATTCAAAAGAAAAAAAATCTACATTTTGTTCAGAAAAATAGCACAAGGAAAAGTAACATCAAAACGTATTTGTCTTAGGAAAAAAGAAAAAAGCAGATTTTCACACACACACCCTCAAATCTGAAAAGGGAAGGTAAAARTAAGTTTATATTCTTTTTTATGTCATGTGACAAAACTAGTTTAGTTTGAYTGGTGTCAACTGGGCAGTTACATCCTCCACCCCCTCTGTACTAAGAARTAAGCACATACACACAAGAATTTTGTTCAGAAAGTAAGCAAGAGCAATCTAAGTTTTAATTTATTTACTTCAGCTGTCATCAGTGGTTTCTTTGGTGTTCTTCTGGGCATGTCTGAGAGTTCACTGACTGACAGTGTAGGAGCTGCATGCTTGAAATTTCCAGGCACCCTATTGACAACCTGCCGAGATTCAAAATTGTTCAAACTCAGAAATAGCCAAAGTACAAAATGAAAAGGGGCAAGGTGGCAGAACCAAACAACAAAACCTTTATGTGCATTGAATATATGCATGTTAGAAGTTAACTCAAGAAGGTTAAGTAACAGATACTCCAAGATCAGCATAGGAAACACACTGCTTATCATTCCAAGTAGTTTCTTTTAAGCCATTTAGAAACATAAAAGCTATTTAGTTCACAAGAAAAGCCAAACTTTAAAGAAAGTATTCTGCATGTACTTAAATAAATTAAGAAAATATCTAAGCTTTTAAAGTAATTTTTTTCAGCCTTCCCCCCCCCAAAAAAGACATTACATGGGACCTAGGTGTCTACCTAGTCCCATCTCAAAGTGAACAGCATTAGGTACTTAAACAGATAAATGAGTATGTGGTTTCAAAGACTACTGAATAGTCTTACTTTGCTTAACACAGTCCTCTATCTGTCCAAAACAGAATGATTCTGTCAATGAAGATACGTTACAGAAGAATACCACAATTGATTAAATGTATTTACTAAGCATATTTACTAGGGTCTCGTTGCTTGCAGTCAATTTAGTTTCAGCTATGGGAGTACTCTCTGATATTACAGCATCATCTAYAGGCAACTGTGCTGTAGCTTCCACCTGTTTGTTTAAAACAAACAAAAGACAACAATTGAATAAAAGAGCCACTGGGACCCTAAGAGTGAGAAAAAAAAAAAAAAGCTTGTCTATTATAAAAGCCTCTCATCACCCTTTTTCTTGGTGCTCTTCTTGACACTCTTGTAGACTCCCTAGAAAATGCCTGCAGAGGTCCACTTTTTGAAGATCCACTTGTCCAGACAGTCTCAGTAACTCCATCTTGAGAAAAGGTCTATTCAAGCATCAAACACATGATCATACACATGAAAACCAGCTCCAAACATTGGATACTCACAACCAAAAGCCAAAATAACATACATACTCCAAAAGCAACGTCTATTATCAAAAAAATGTGGATCCCGATACATTCAGTAATGAATATCTAGCTAGATTAGAAGTGTTGAACATAATACTTACATTTGAGAACATTACTGTTCAAATACAGAACTGAGTAGATAATGGCCAACGGCAAAAACCACTAATTTGCTCGCTGCCCTAGAATGAGGTACCTAACACTGCAAGGAGTTACACAAAGTGAYGGACAGCAGACATGAAGCTTTCAGGTCTATTACATTTCCTGCCCATACACACACAGATCTATGAGCATAAGCAGAAAGCATCACCTTGTTCTCTACACAGATGGGGTTCTATTCTCACAAGCGAGTTGGGAACAGTTTATGCACAGCCAYGTACATTTCAATGGGAACTAATCTTCRGCCATAGGGGCCAGGGGAGACACTTCATAATCTTAAAAGATTCCACATACAGGGATAAAACTAACAATTTTCACATAACAGGTTTAAACAATCAAGCCTGACACAGATCTCTCACAAATCTACGTAACATGAAGCACCAAACTTTCACAGCCATTAACAAAYACAGATCTTTCTCTATCCTTTACTGCAACTTTCACACTCAAAGCAAATATCCCCCTCAAAACTAATTCCAGGATTAGAAAGGGAGATGTGGATCTGCTTCTTCTAGATTATATATAAAATTTTCTTTTTTATTTGGGTAAGTTTAAAAATAAAAACTATTACTTCGATAATACTTTATTCTTTGCACATTAACACCTCATACAGTGATGTACTTCCAAGTTTTTGGAAGTTCCACTCATTGCTGAATAAAGCTATACACGGCAACTGTAAATTACAGGTTTAACAGCAGAAGTAACTTCACTAAAACAGTATTAGCCCCAAAACAATGTGGTGGGGGAACTGTATTTATTAATTGAGAGGACAGCGAAACTAGAAGCTGAGCAGCTTTATGTTTCMTAAGTTTTATATTACAGCTACTACATACCCAGCAGAGGGAGCATGTGTGTTTCACCTTATTTCAAAGTCACTGAAGAACTTTATAAAACAAATTCACAGACCTAAGGTCCAAATAAATTCAGATATTTTGTTTAGAATTGGAGATTTCAGCCTACTTGTCAAAAATTCTTTAYAAATTCAGACTTTTTGAAACTCTGACCCCTCCTTAAATATTTACCAGACTCAGAATTCTCTTMCTTATTAAGGAATATTTAGCCTGCAACTTATAATCCCAACTCCCCATCTCAACCTTGATATACTTCCTATTTGAGATGTGTTCTTTAGCAGCTTGGCAAAAAAAAAATACTAATTTTAGAGTGGTTCTACTCAAACACAATCCACTCAAGAAAGCAGATAGGCAATTCACTCATACCGTAACGAAGAGCTGCCCATGACTGTCTGACTAGGAATTACTTATTTTCTAATGAAAAGTTAGAAGTACTTCAGYAATAACTGCCTCTCTTCTTAGTTCTTCAGATGCTTCAATCATGTATTTTAAGTACCAAGTTTCAACTTCTTTCTTGCATGAAAAGTAGGAAAAGCCAGAATCTATTGCATAAAACCCATCCAGACTTCAGCAGAACACAGTCAACCTTTTTCAACCTTTTTAAAAGGTTTAAATTGTTGTTTACAGTTATAATTATCCTGTCAACTGAGCAGGCCTCTAACCCTATCAAAATGTAACATTCACATTAGGTACACCCGCACCCTGTATATAACCAAACAAACTACAGTGGTGTGGTACACAAGCAGTCTTCAGCCTGGGCTTTTAATTGTCAAATAACTCATGAGCAGTGAAGCTATAGATTATGACTTTACCTCTTTACCTCAGCTGTCACCAAAAAAAAAAAAAAAAAAAAAAAAAAAAAAAAAAAAAAAAAAAAAAAAAAAAAAGAGGAGTACGGGAACACAGCAAATGCAAAATGCCACCATACAAAGTCTCAGGAGACAGTAGTTCTACATTGCTCCTTAACATTTACATTGTTTAGCCTCCTTTTTCTGTACAATGCCATTTACTRTGTGGCCTCTGGCTCAGTTTAAACTCCAACTCTAGATTCACCTACAGGATTAGAAGGGGGCAYTTCAACTAGTTTTTTGCCAACTTTTCCAGTTCACTATGAGAAGGTAATTAAACACTAACAACTGAGCTCAAGTTCATCCAGCCCTCCACTGCTAACTGACTGATAAGACTCATAAGCCTGCTCAACTTCCCCACCCAATTTCTTTTGTAGTTRCCAAGCAGACTGCTATCTATTTGCACTCTTTTTAAKAGAACAGCCACATCCAACCATACCAAATGATAGACAATCTTRTCAGCTGTGTATGTCTGGTCTCCAACTAGTGCTATACAGAACCAAGAAGTAACTAGCAAGTCTGCTTACACCATAATGCCCACCAGCTCAGCTCCCCATTCTTCAGACCTCGTAATCTTTGAGCCAATGTCATAGTGCACAAMAGTGCAGAAATAATTCTGCAGAATGACTATAGTCCCTTGACACATTAGCTAAAAACCTACAATACAATTCCACAGGAAAAAGGGCAGGAAAAAAGAAATCTTCTCCATCTTCTGGTTTTATTCTCGGCAAAATACACGACTACACACATTTGCTAGCCAAAAGAATTAAGTTGTTCTTAGCTTCAAGCAGCTGCAAATTTTTACTGGGGGGTGGGTGGGGTGTTTGTTGCAGGATTGTTAGATGGTTTTGGATGCTTGCTACACTTAAAAATAAAAACAAAAAAATCAGAAGTTCAAAGGTAAAATATTTAGCAAGATAAAAGTTTCTGAAGAACCTGACATAATTTTGAAATTAGATTTTTTTATTATTCTTTTGATATTACTTGGATTAACTCTTGGTAATTAAAATATGTAAGCTGCAAAATATTGAATATATTGAATATTGAAAAATATATTGCATCTTTACTGCACAGATAAGATTGCAAGACAAAACAGTAATGACCTGATAYTAATATAGTGAAACTGGATGACAAAAAAATTGAGTAAACAAATCACTYAAAATGCCACAAAAATACCTCACTAAATCTCTTCTCTTTTATTCTCTAAGTGGGTTCCAAAGGACCATAAGTTTTATCTGTTGATAGCAGATACAAGTATCYCTATTACTGAAGCTGGCAGAGATTACTGGTTGAATAGCAATTTTGAAAAAATTAATTCTTGAAATACAAGAACCTAAATATTCAGATGCTCATTATAAAGACCACCATGAAGAGAAGTTGCTGAACAAACGAATTAATATTTGATGCGTTGAACTATGTGTGTTTCAATTTGTTTAAGCAAAATCTGTTCAGCTTATACCCTAAAACTCCAACTTAGAATAAGCAGAACTAGATATGGATCTCCCTAACTGTGTTGTATTACTCAAGATCATATAGCAGCATTGTACCTGCTTTAAGAGACATCCATAGCTAAAGCATGTTTACACATACACACATACTCTCTAAAAAGCAAGCATCTGGCATTTAACATAAAGTATTGAGAAAAGTCACTGTGATCTGCTAAAATATACCAAGCAATTAACAAGTCGAGTGACTGAATGCTTCTACACAAGTCCTTTACTGTGGCATAACTCCACTACTTACTGGTCAGATGAACAACACTGTAAAGACCCTAAGTATCCTAAGCTGGGCAACAGGATATTTAGTGACATTTGCACATYACAACGACAGATCAGCCATCAACTACCAAACCTGTATTTCAGTTTGAAAATCTGAGGTGCTTCTGYAAAATCACKCTTGCATCAAGACAGCAGAACTAATCTTTATAAGTAATGGACAAGTGGTACATAGAGAGATCAAAACTTGCTGTTTATTGTTTTTATTTGTAGGAGAAGCTTTTCAACAAATTCATGTCTACTCTAGTACTGGTGCTATACACATAGTTGAAGAAAAAATATTATATAGATAGCTATATTTGTGTATGTGTGTATATGTCTATTATATAGACAGCTATATATATGTATTATATAGATAGCTATATATGTGTGTATGTGTGTACATACACACACCTACATATAGGTATATACCTACATATAGGTATATACCCAAATACATCACATATTATTTTAAATGAGTAATTAAACAGATGTATTTAAAATGCATACCTATAGCTAACCAGAAAGCTATATGTTGTGTATATATGTATTTAAAAACATTTCTTAAAAAAATAAAAAAAAACCCCACACACCCCTTTTTCCAAACTTTTTTTGAGAAACCACTGCTTTTATTAAATCAGGTAGATTACAAATACCCAACAGAAAGCCCTCAGCCCATATGACTTAAAAATCRGTTTCCAAAACTAAACATGTTAAGGTTGCCCACTATTCTTCYCTAGGAGGTGCTACAGCAGCTGGCAAGTCAGACAAACAGCTTTTAGCAGACCATAYTTAGAACGTTATCAGACAGGCTAAAAACAGCTGCTATAGTTAATTCAAAAGATTTTCATGCTGTATTAAAACAGGCTTTCTAAAAGAGCTTTTAAAAAACCAGCATAGCTCACTTAGTCAAATGTCATGTTAAAACTAGTAAGGTGTTTAGTGAGCACCTCGCCTGTAGTTAGCAGCTGTTCCACAAGCCACTAAATTAAACATACCTGGTTGTGTTCAACAACTCTTTTTTGTTTGAGTGTTACTGGTGTCTTCGTCCTGGCTTTCAGAGGTTCTCTCTTCTCAAGCCTCAGCTCAGTCTTCGGATCTGCAATAATTTTAATATAACTAGTTTCTAGTTATAATACTACTGGTTGTGGTACTGGTTTAAACYAAATGTATTTTAATAAAAATTAATTTTAAGAGCCAACATAACTTTCATGAATTACCCTATCCTTAAAAAGCTGTGAAACAGGTTTATTTCTCTATTGAATAYATACAAACAAAGACTTTTGAAGAATAACCTTAAAATTATCCTAAACCATTTAGCATTTTGTGCTAAAAATCCTACATTTCAGATAGGCCTTCCTTGACCAATCCACTAGTTCMATTTAGAAACTGGTATCAAACTGCAATTTCTTTAACTGAAGTACCATTCTGCTATTGATGGTACTAAAGCTTGTATTGAAGCTTGTCAATATTGATTGAAGTTGTTAGCTTAGCTTCCTTTCAAACATRTTCTTTTATATAAAACCCCATTTTTGATGCAGTACAGAAGAGAGGGCTTAGTAGCCATCTCACTAAAAAGAGCATGTATTATTTTCACTGCTTTTCTAAAATTCTAATTTCTAATATATTTAAGGTTCACTTATAAAAAACTTTTTTTTTGGCAGGGGAAAAGGGGAATGTTTTCTTCCCCAAAGTGTGAACAGTTCAGTAATTAAACAAAACATATCTAATTATAAGAAGTTAGCTGTCAGGTGTGACTAGGCTCTAGGCTCTTGGCTGTCCCAGAAATTAATAAATCAATCTCTAAAATCCTTTCCCCCTAAAGTGCAAGAGATAAAAGTTGAAAAACAAGCCAAAYTATGCAAGAGAGATCAATCCAATTACTAGTTGTATTTCAGCCCTTTCTGTCCTATGTCCATGGAAATTCCTGTAAAAACAAAACAAAAAAAAAACCCACTCCCAAAACCAAACCACACTAAATAAGCATCTTCTAACATTCCAGGCAAGTAATTCTTTAAAGCCTCTGCTGTTTTTACTTTTTGTAAATTGCACAATGGTGTGGTTTAGGTTCCACTTCCCCCACCATTGCACTTTCTTGATACAAACCTGATATTAAAAGCATATAAAACACACCCGGGACCAACCAATTAACCCACCCCCAACTAAGTCCATAAGGAACAGAGCATAAAAGGGGTTGAGTCATAAGTGACAGAGATTAAACAAAAAAGTACAGGAGTTAAATAAACACATTCTCTATCCCATAGTAAATAACTACAGAGWGCACTGTAAGACAAAATTGCACTGGTACTTAAGTATGAAGTGCAAAGAACATTGAAACACCCAATACACAGCTCTCCTATCTATTGGATTTACAGGCTCYCATCTGGGGTAAATAGATAAAAGGGACCAATTCAGTAGCAAAAGGTTTCCTTTCCCAGAACAGGCACCTGGATCGCTGTGCTAGTACTGCATGACCAAGCACATGACTCATGTGGCCCACAGCAGTGTCTTACACTGCACCTATCAGCAAGATCATACCCTCTTTAGGTTATTTCTACTGCAAGTATTATTCATGTATAATTTGAACAGTTCCCAACTAAGTTCCATTCAAGTCTTACCTTCTTCATTGTCACTGTACTGGTCAGAATCATTGTTTCCATTCTGTCTGGTGTTCTCAGTAGCTGAAATTGCTGGGAGAGCCACAGGTGCCTTCWGTTCAGGACCTTGTTCCATCAGTTTCAAAAGCTTTTTCTCATAAAGTTTCCTAGTAGTAGCTGTAACAGAGAAGGGTACATGTTAAAAATACAGTTAATCTTTCCTGACTTGATTTCATGGCACTTGGCTGTTACATACTATTTGTGAATTTCTAAACATAATATTTTGTCTATTTTCAATCATATTCTATGTCCTGGAGTGTGTGTGTGTATATATATATATATATATATATACACACACATACACACACACACACACACACACACACACACATATATGTACAGACACACCCCTCGAGGTATACAACTCTGCCTCTAACTTTTTGGTTCAAGAGAATTCTCAGATAAGCTTAGACCTCTTTGTACACTGAATGTGATGAAAAGGAAATCTACCTGCTCCTTATATGCTGCAATATACAARCTGCTATGTCCACACCAAAGAAYTTAGTGAGTTTAATATTGCAAGGGAAACAGTTTCCATGCAGATCACATTATTATTCTCCTAATTCCCCTAATTCCCTACCCTGGAATTAATGCCCTGCCTTTGCCTTGCWGGCAAATTCAGTCCAATTAGCATTAGAGATGGTGCAAGCAAGCAGCAAAACCAGAATCTAGCCATCAGGTTGGCTTGCTTGATGTAAGAGGACAGCTGTCTAAAAGGTATCAAGTCTAGCACATACGTCCACATGAGGACTTTACTGGCAAAAATYGGTAGAGGTGACTGGTTCCTGAGCTGTCAGCTGTAGAAAAAAAATTTTAACTTTCAAAGATTTTTGATAAGAGGAAACCACAATTAAAAATAAGTAGCAGCCTCTCAGGGAACAGAGTCCATACCTTCTAAGAATTAAAGGATTTAAATTAGATGAATTTTAACRTCTCTCCAGGGGACTACATAGGTTCTTGAGTTTTTCAGACTTGAGAACTATTCAAGAGGTACAGGTTGAATGGCAAGGCAGGCAGAACCAGCTAACTGAAAATATTACAGATAAGACTTTGAATACACACAGGACTACAGGCTCAGTCACGGACACTTCCATCCACCTAGGATTTCAAGAACATTCCACAGAAGGCTCTGCATACTACAGTCTTTTTTTTTTTTGAAGAGTTGTGAAATCAAATTCCCTTGCCATTAGGCTCCTGCACAATCTGAAAGGCAAGGCACTTTGATCCCACATCACAGATGAGTGCCCAAGGAAGGAGATTAGGTTGGGGTCAGAACTACTCCTGATGTAGACCAGCATACAGGACAGAACACTAGGCTCAAATAGCTAGAAAAAAGCATTAGCWAAGGAAAACATTACTGCACAATGCAGTGAGTASGAAYTGCTCTAGGGAAAGGGGAGTTCCCTGTTCTCATTCTCCTCTCAATACTATTAGGTTATTATGTAAGATGTATTTCCTATTTAAGTGGGCCCAGATCTCAACCTCTGTATCAGAAGACCGAATTACCTCAGCACTGAACTTTAACTAATAGTTACMCAGTTTCAGAACAGAAGTTGGAATATCTCCAGCTGGCCTAGAACACAAGACAAGCAAACTTCTGACTTACCCCCCTGCAGTCCTTCAAGTCTTCACAATGTAAACAGTTAAATGAAAACATCCTAGGTAGGAAGTAGGATTGCAACAGTACTAGTATTAAAAAGTAACTGTAGCAGGGGAACTCAAAGAACTCACAAGCGAGATTTACTGAGAAAYGCAACAAATTAATATCTGCTAGTTCAGTTGACCTACCTACAATCGGGCCCGGATTTACTCCATACTTCATAAGTTGCTCTTGAAGGTCTTCATTACTCATCTCTGTTACATCTTGATCATCCTTCTCCTCTGGTCTGGGTTTGTCAGTTTTCTTTGTAGCTTTCTGAGAACATGATGGAGAAATGAGAGACAGGGTGTTCCAGTTAATACAGAACACATATTTTATTTCTAAGGGAACAGGAAGACATATGAGAACAAAACATATAAGCCCAGAGTAAATTAATTCTATTCTCCCCCACGRTAACTAGTAGAGTTTATGTGAAACAGTACATTTGCACCTACCAAGCAAACATGCACAAGTTTTCTACTCAGGAAGGAAATACCCATTACAAACGTCCTCTAGAGTTAAAAATCAATCAATTACTCTGGTCTTGTGTTTTAACCTGAAGTTCAAGTATACAGTGGGAGAGAATTGCTTTCCTATGACTGGAAAAGTAAGCTTCTAGCTGTTTTCACCATCACCACACAAAMCTACAAATTATTATGTTACATTGACATTTCTTTGCATTATTTTTCTACCTAGTAGGTCAACATTTCTTCTGCTAATGATATTAAGCAAGTTCTTTAGTATCTACATTTCAACCAAGTTTCCAAAACCCCTATTCCTACTTGCCAGAATGTCCTGGCACTCTCTGTGAGATTACATCATGTTACAAAGTGAGTGCAGGTAAGGCAAAAATCAGAAACAACCTCAAATTTTCAAAACCCTGACTGCCTGCTTAGGCCTCTGCTACTTGTAGCTCTAACAAATTCTAAACCCAACTCTGGCAAAACTACTTGAACAGTGGCAATGCACCATCACCACATACAGATGGCTATCAAAATAATCTGCTGAGATACTGCTCCTAAATTAGCATTTTATGCTTAATCCAAACAGTGTAATCATAACATTTCTTCAACTTGGGAAGCCTCTGTTACTACAATAGGCATTRTGAAAGTGAAGAGGTAAGACATAAAAAAAGCATGCTTAGGATTTACAAGCTCTTTACTAAGAAAGACCTTGATATTGCTTTGAAATAAAATCATGTTTGTATCTATCTCAAAGCTGTATAACATAAACAAAAATTATTTCTGCATTTAGCGCTTTTCTCAACTCAGTTGCTCAGAGGGCCTATCTGGGTTTTCCAGTACTAACAAAAGACTAAAATTCCAAATACAAATGTGCTATAAACACTCAGTCACAATTAACAAGTCTTTTTCTTGTTGCGTTTTAAAAKATAGCAACAGAACACTTTAAGATGACTGACATGAGTCAACAGTAACTAGCTATTATTGCCAGTTCAATATTTGTCWGCATGCAAGCTTAGTCTTGCCTCAAATATCTTGGTATTTTACAGCTAAGCAGGGACTGCATGTGGATTTCCCAAATATACCTGACTCCAGATTTTCCTCTGCCTCCTGGATTGTGAATATTCCAGCATGAAGAACTTAATACCAGCTGCTGAAAAGCAACAGAATCTCCAAGAGATCATGGTATTTCTTTATTCTAGGAAATAGCCTCCAGGCAGTCTGAAGAAAGTATCGGGTCATTAACGTGGTAGATTTGACTAAAGGCAGATTTATAACTTACTTTGTCAATCCTTTCACTCCTARTTAGTTTTTGATGCAACTGAGTCTACTTCTATAGTACACAAGGTAACAACCAACCTGCAGCTGTAGAAGACTTTTATTCAATTTGAACATGTTGGTCATGACATTATTTCAAGTCAAGTATCACATTAACTTCAATTTCGTATTAAATACATTTTTTCTGGACTACTGAACTGTCCAAACAGAAAAAAAGTTCTGAAAAAATYGGCATTCCAATGACACTTCTTTGTGTTTGTTATTTTCCTTCCAAATACCATTTCACTTTTTCCTGCACTACTTTCTCACACACAGAGATCATCAGAATAGTTTCAGCAAAGAACAASGGTAGGGAGGGGATGAAAAAAGTTGAAAGTCATCTATGTTCTTCAAAAATGGGCCAGATGTCTCGATTTTGTGTTCTGCAAGGTCACAACTGTACTTTTGAACACCTATTCTCCTTAGAGCAGGAGCAAATGACTTCCCCTRTACAAGCAAAAAGCTGCCATTTAACCATTCACTGGACCACAAGATGAGACCCTACAAGCGTAAGGCAGGATAGAAGAATTTCTCATACCTTGGCTGTGGTATGACAGCATGAACTTCAGCAATAACAGTAGCTTCAATTACCACTACTATTATAGTATAATGAACCACTACACTTTCTGTGTATCATGACAACTTATCCACTGGACTACACTGTAAGACAGATCAAAAGARTTAGCTCAAAAATGTATCACTGTAAATTAAAAACAAACAAACCCAAAAGAGCCACACTTGCATTTTCCTAGTCTGTGACCACTAGTAAAATTTATCTTACKATGGTGCAGAGATGAAATGCTTAAAATAAAATGTGGCAATATCCAGGATTTGCCAAAGTAAAGTGGTACAGCTGACCACTTTGACCATAATGTACTTCAAACAAGTACTGAAGTGAATGATAAGTATGGGGCTCCCACATAGCATTCTCAGTATCAGGGTCATAGAAAAACAAGAGCATAAGACAAGTTCATCTTTTCCAAGTGTCATCTCTTGACTGCACAAAGCCTTCACATTCTTTTTCTAGCAAGAAGAGCAGAAAATGTTAGCAACCAGAATTCAGATTTGGAAGCTATTGACCCCTTACCTCACCTTGGGATTCCTGCTGAATAGAAACAAACAACCAGAAATCAGCATAATCAGGCAAACTTTATGAGTGCCTATACCACTCCTAGCACTATCCCAAAGACAAGCATAAGGAACATGTTGAAGAAGCCATTAAGTAATAAACCCAACAGCTATGGGACATCACAAAAAACCATTTTCAAATCCCAAGTTAAATAACACCTACATCAGAATACACAATGATTTTAATGCAAAACAGGTGCAGCTTCATCACTAGAAGCAGAAAGGATCAGGGCTTATTTACGATTTCTCTGAATGAGGTTAAGATAGCCTGAAGAAAGCCCAAATCATACCAAAAGAATGGTGTTTAATTCTCCAGTTTGCARAGAATTCCCTCTGGTAACAAATAACTATTTCTCTAAGGAGACGTGAGGATAAGAAACAGGATATGCAAAGTGTTAATAATAGAGTTATACTGTGAAATTGATACGTCTTTACTCCCCTTGTATTTTTTATTCTACCACACACAAACATGTCCTGCAATTGAATTTCCTTTTTTAAAATCCTACTTTTTGAAGTTCCCACTGAACTTTTTAACCTCAACAGCCTGGAGACAATAGCTACCAAAAGCTACAGGACAGACAAAATAAACAATGTGAAGGAAATTATACAGCAGCAATTTAAAGATACTGATACACACAACTTAAAAAATTCACTGTCTTTTAACAATAGTCARTAAGTGCCAGACTTAGAATTTCCAWGCCTATGTACAGTAACAGTTATAAATGAGAAGACTATGGACTACTCAACATTTCCACTCCCTTCTCCTTCCAGACACTAACTTCCATGTTACTCCATGAAGGAAATGTACTCACACCAAGCATGAAGTTGCAGAACAGCATGGCAGGACTCCTCACTACAGTGGGAATTACTTTGGTCATCTCCCCCCTACTGCCCACAGCATTCGCTCAGTCAGTGGGAGTGTCTTTTAAAAAAGGCCACCAAATTTTTAAACTGATTTCTACATCACATATGTGCAGCATGTCATTATTAAGACATGCAGCCACACAGAAAACACTAAATAGAGTATCTTACTTCACTGAGTACACATATACGCTTTACACTACCTCACCTATCCAAGCAAGCAGTTTCGTTTTCCACACGCCTAATCCTCATAAATTACTAGTTTTTTTACTATTACCTTCTCTTTTCCAATATGGAAGGGGTTGAAGCTGTTGTTACCTCAGCTATAGATATCATTACCACACCATTCTGACCATAAAGAGCTGAAAAGCTCTTTATTTACTTAGCTACTTGATTAGAACAAAAACCTCAACAACCCAAACAAACTCACCCCCATCAAACCAAGCATCTTTACCTGATATATCTCTTCTATGACATTTCAAACAGGCTTTTCAGGTCCAGATGTTCTCATCATACCTTCATTACCAGAAGGAGACATTTGACTGATCTTTTTCAAATCATCACTTTAAAGGTCAAAAATATCACTCAATGTGTTTTAGAAGTGATTCTTCCAGGACATGAAATACACCAATAAGCTCAGCCATAATAATCTACACATTATAAGCTCTGAACAGTTCCTGTTTGGCAACAGCATCAAGTATTTTTGGTTTGTGCTTTAAAATAAYGCCCCTGAAAGAGGCAAAAMTGTAATTTCATGGTTACTTTTCCTGTGGCCTATCTGTCCTGATAGTCAATCCATAACAAACCAGAATGAGGGGCATTCAGATGCAGTTGGTTCCTCCCCCCCAACAGCAAAATGGTGTGTTGCACACCCAGTCACTGTCCTCACACACCACTATGCTAAACAGGCTTAAGGGAAAAAAAAAAAGTTCACAAATATAAGTAGAGCTGAAGAAGCTGGCTCCTCCAGACAATATTATCAGATTGAGGCACAAACAGGTATGGCTTTAAAAGCTTTTCCTCTCCTGGTAGGAGTATATAGCCAAAGWGGGCTATGTAYTTCTGGGTTGGATAGAGCTAAACTGGAAGAGTGATKGATTCAAAACACATAATTCGCASAACTCAAACGATGGGATTTTGTCTCTACATAACTTTTWAAAATAGAAAATATGCACCTAARTGCATTATCAAATGCCCAGAACTTWAAAAAACCCCACTAAAATGACGGTGYAGACAATTTAAAATTACTTATAACTACAGCAATGTCAAAACACTAATGCCAGTATTAAGAGACCTGATTTAGCTTTCAGTGATTGTGGCACGGATATTCAGATTATTCCTTAGCACTTGTTGCTCACACCCGTTTTAAGAAAAGCCATGCAGTCTCCCGCTCAGGACCGGTAAATGAGCGGGGAGATCCCGCGGGGTCGCAGGAGAAGGCGCTCGGCCCCCGTGCGCCCCCTGGCGCCCGGCCCCGCCCGGCAGCCCTGCCCGCACCGCCGCACGGGCCGCACCCTCTCCCGCGCTGCTCCACCCTCGGGCTCCCCTGAACACACGAGGGCTGCAACTCAAGCTGGCTGCAGGCTCAGAGAGGCTTATAACTATTTGCTCTTAATTAAGGCAAAGGCGACCGGGCCCAGAGCAGGATGAGGGAAGGCCCGTTCCTTTATTTTATTCCTTCTTTCCACAATTCCTTGCAGTTCCAGCTTGCCTTCTTTGCCCCTTGTTTCTAATTTCTCATTCAGACATCTGAGTGCTTTCCCTCCTGTCCTCCCTTAATCTTCTCAAGATATATTGCTTTGCTTTTTCACCAAAATCCCAGTCCTCTGGGATGTCAGACTTTCCTCACTCTTCTTCTTCCAACTGTACTGGGGGCAAAGCATTGTGGAGACATGTGCTACTCTTATTGAAGGAGAGCTGATCAGAGAAGCACGCTAATGGCGAAAGACATTAACGGGGACAAGTTACTGGAGCTACAAGCGATTTCAAAACTTCTCAAGTGGCACAAAAGAGGCAACAAGCACACATCAWYCAAGTTTGTTTTGCTTGGCAGATTTTGTTTGAGATTTTTCTGGGTGTTTTGGTTTGGGTTAGTTGTTTGAAGGAGGGAGAGGAAAGACAACAAAACACAGGGCAAAACGGACCCAAATCTGAGCATTTGTAACTAGAATATTTGCTGAAATTCTGGAAGTTATGAAGATACAGYGCTCTAATACTAACACACAAGATAAGCATAACTAGTACAGAGCTTTCCAGACATTGTTAACAAAAGTGTAGGAGTACCACCCATTCTGTAAACAACAAAAAAATCRCCCGTAATTGTTTAAACTTAAGCACTGKGGAAAGGAAAAATCAGATCTAGGACAGGAACTAGCAGTTCTGAAATGTTCCTCCTCCAACAAGCATGAAACTAGTAAGATTCAAGCCCATCCTAGTTTATTCAAAAGCACCTCATGAATCCTATCAGCAGACCACTCTAAGTCAGAGAAATGTCTGACTTACATGTTTCAGTGTCAGGTTACTCCAGWGAATGYCAGTTAAGTGTCTGAATTAGATGTTAAAAAGAGGGAAATAACTTGGTTTYAGAGATCTCTTCCTCTTGGAGTAGCAATTTTCAATTTCTTAATTCAAGAACTGTTCCCTTGGGCTTTTGAAGGTTAAAGAGTGAAAGACCTTCAAATGCTTCCGCTTTTCGGCACTCTCTTTACTAATGACCTTTGAAATACAGTATCTAAGATACAACTAAATAGTACAACTATCACACACATTACAACTCCGGAAGCTGACAATCATTATCCAAGTCTTTCCTCGAGACCAGACATCTAAGAATTATCAATTACAAGATTGCTTTCTCAATATATGCAAATTTATAGTTCACTTATCAAAAATTAAGTAGGAAATCACATTTTCCCAAAGGGAAAAAATCCAAATGGCATCAGCTTCCCTTCTTTCTTTACATGTGTTAAAGTCTATGAAAACAAGCACAGTGGATGAGCTAACAGGCACCAGAGGAGCTTTACTATAGAACACGTTTAAAGCTATGAGGAAGACACCTACATTAAGCAGACCCTCTTTACACTAACCAGTCCACTTCATTAAGCGACACCAACAAGCTGTTCCCTCATGGCTTCATTCTTTCATCTAGAGGCATTTACACCTAGTAGCGCTGCTGCCGTACAACTGAGACACCGGCCGGAGTCCTTTCCTAAGCAAGTCGCAACCTCGTGCAAGCCTCTTGCTTCATTCCTCCAACACCRAAATTGCCTACACAGGAGACGACCCGCCAAGACGCGGTAAAGGCTTCCCAATCTACAGCCGGGGGCTGTCGCACCCTCCAGGCACGGCCGCGCTGCTCCTGCCCGCCCGGGCCAGCCGCTCCGAGAGGCGCACAAGGCGGGACGCGTCCCGGAGACACACGGCGGTCCACGGCAACAACCCACCGTCCCAGTTCGGCCCCCAGCGCGGGGCGGCCGCCCGGCAGCGTCGCTACCCCTCTGCCTCAGGCGGTGGGACCGTCCCGGTCGGGCACGATCCCGCCCTCAGCCGAGCTGGGGACTCTCCCGGCCCGGTGCGGAGACCCCGGCGCGTCGTGCCGCCCCGCGAGGAGCGGCCGGCCCCGTTCGGGCGGGAAAGCGGGCCCGAAGCTGCCGGGAAGCCGAGGCGGCGCGGGCTAGAGGCGGCGGTACTCACCCGCCCGACGGCGGCAGCGCCGCGGCTCCGGGCGCCCAGAGGTGTGGGCTCACGCTCCTCGTCGCTGGAAAAGTCGGGCTGCGCGAGGGCGGGCGGGTTGCGGGCGGTAAGGTGCTGCAGGTAGAGCTGCACGTACACGTCCTTGCGCTGCTCGCCGCCCGGAAGGCTCACATTGTTAGCGATCAGCTCGCTCTTCAGCTTCTCCTTGGTCAGCACCGACGGATCCGCCAGGAACTCGGGCATCGCCGCCGGCCGCAGCCGCCGCCGCTCTCCCAGGAGAGGCACCAACAAAGCGCGGGGAGAAGGGGCGGGGGAGCGGGAGGAGGTGGAAGACTCGCCTGCTCCGCGCCASGGACCAGCTCCACAGCGGGCGGGCGCGCGCACCGAGCGCTTCTTCCCAGCCGGCAACAAGCCGCGCCCTGATTGGCGGGGAAAGCAACGAAGCGGCTTCGCTATTGGCTGTGGGGCGGAAAAGGGGTGGGGTGCGCGGGAGCAGCGGCGTTGGTGCTTTGCGCGAGGGACAGTAACGCAGTTTAAATTCGGCTCGGGCGGGAGAGGCGCGCGGGGCGGCGCTCGCGCGCGGGGGAGGGCGGGGGCGCTGCCGCCTCACGGCCGGTCCCGTCACACCGGGGCTGCCCCGGGCCCTGTCCGCTGTGTCCCTGCCGCCGGGAGCGCCTCTCCCTGTGCCGAGCAGCGGAGCGGGCGGTTAATGAGAGAGATCCCGGTTACCTGCCGTGATCCCGGTGACCTGCCGCGACACCTGCCGCCGCCTCTGTCCGCGCCGYTGCTCCGCGGGCATGTGCGGCCCTGGTGGAGCGCGTCGCGGGTGTTCCCGTGTCCCGCACCGCCAGCCGGACGAGCACCGGAGTTCTGTCTCCCCCGGGATAACCCGAGCGTGCACCTTCACCCAACCAGTTAGCTGAGGGGCACCCGAAGAATCCAGCGGGGAAATCGGTAGCTAAGTGTTAGCGTGACTGTCGCCGTTGCGGTGACTTAAACATAAAAATAAATAAATAAATAAAATCGCATCCGTAGTACTGCAGAGTTTGAAAGGCGCGTAGTTGTTTTATTTATTTATTTGTAAAACCGACTTACAAAATGTTACAAGTGTGTCCCTGCTGGGGAAGTTCGACTCAGTTCAAGACTGCAGTCTCTCAGTCTTTAAAGTAAGCAAGTTATTTCTGTATTGACACGCTGCTTGCTGGGAATACGCACTACTTTTATTTTATGATGGGAAGGGTTTGGTGTTAAGATTTGACTATACATYCTATGCTTTTGAGAACTGCTTTGCAGTACCGGAGATAAGAATTTAAATGTGGATATTTTAATTTTCATTTCAGTCATGAAATTGACTGACCTATTGCTGGATCGTTAGTGTTTGTACCTACTCCSCTTTGTGTTCCAGGAGTTCTAAGTTGCTATTGGGGAAAGGGATGTCCCGTTTTTTGGTGCTCCATCGTGGAGCTGTCCTGGTGGCTGTTGTTCCTGTTTATCTTACCGTAGSCTCAGTATCGGCTAGATGAAGGTGATGAAGGATATTTTTTTGTGGAAGGTAATTTCGAGGCAGATGAAGAAGATCCACCCACAGGAAGYCTGATGTTTCCCAGTGAAGAATTGGTGTGGTGTAACAAAGTAATTAAGATGAGGGAGAAGCTTASCTTGGGGCATTTAGTTTATCTTGTTGTGCAAGTACTGTATGAGGTGGCAGTCGTCTGAAGTTCATTAATTTATAYGTGAAAGTGCTTGGTTCTTGGTGTACATACTTGGCCTGTTCAGTTTGTTTGACAGTGAAGCTCAACAAAGAGTAGAAACATCATCCCCCATTAATACCACACATTTACACATCAAAAAGTAATATATTAATGTGGATTGACTGGTATCACTTTTAAGCTCCAACAGAAAAAATTAGGTGGTTCTATCTATTTTCCAGCGTACATTACCCAAAATTTTATCTGGTATRTGGATATTGCATGACAGGTGTTTTGGAAATACTTAAAAGAAATTTAATTCCTCTCCAAACTTGGTAGTACTAATTTAAAGCATGGATAGTATTTTTCACCTAGAAAAGGGTTTAGGTGGCTTGGAAAATAGTCTTTTCCTACCTTTAAGAATTTGCTTTTTATTCAGATATGRAACCAGTTGCACAACATACTTTAGAGAAATTCTTTAGCTATCATACTAATGTAAAAARTCACTTCAACTCATACCAAGTCTAAAATGTTTAAAAGCAGCATAAGGGGAAACTGGGAAATTTTAGCCAAAGTTAAGTGAAAATGCAATCTAAAAAGTTGGTGCAGTCACCATCTAACATCCCCATGGACAATAATGGTACGATAGGTCTGAAGCTTRTTTTCTGACAGTGGTTCTTAGAAGAGTGCAGGCACCATTTGCAACTCATTGTACTGTTCCGGTTCTGCAATATAGTTGGCATATTGTGCAATAATCTGCAGTATATCTGGCTTTTCTTGTGAGTGATGAATTAGGAGTGGAAGGAAATACAACCGCTGAGCTTGAAATCTAAGTACATTGGTGGTATGYCTGGTTTTAATGCATTAAACATAGCATAAAGACCCCTACAGGAATACAGTATGAAGAAGTAGACCCCTACAGTTACATYCACAGTTTAGCTTTGGTCATAACAAATGGATGAGTTGACTGGCCTTATCTTGGATCCGTGATTCTTGTCTTTTTGCTGTCAGACGAAACTGGCATAGCAGCATAAAGACAGCAGAAACTCATAATATGTTTTGGCTATTTGTTCAAACTCCAGTACAGTTGCGGAGCCACTGAGGTTGTGGCTCTGATTAACTTTGCTTGAAGTTCCTATTTGCTGCCCATTTGAGTTTTGAAAGTTATTTTSCCAACTATGARAARTAAGTATTTCTGGTGAATTACTTTCACTGTTACACTGTTACCCTGGTGTAACTCCCTTGCACTGACACGGAGCTGTTTTATCGTTAGGCTTTCTTGCTTCTGAAGCAGCCAAAGCTAAAGCTAAAGAAGCACAATATGTGCTTCTCTTCAGTGCCACTCTTCTTCAGAGCAATAGRCTTCTCTGGGAARCCAAGTCCCTAAACAGTCCTTGGCACGTACCTGTTCTTTGTTGGTTCTACACTGTTTACTGTCGCACTTTGGGATCAATAGGCATCTTCCAGGCAAGGTAAAGACAGAGAAAATARTGCAAGAAAGTACCTAAATGTGCACATGCATGACGATTGACACCAGAACCTGCAACTCTCACCACAATTAGACCCTAATACAGCAGAGGATCTGCACCTTTATTGTTTGTTTTGTTTGGAGGAAGGGAAGTCACATTTTTTAGCATGAGGCAGCAGTCAAACAGATGAAGGGAATAAGTTCACTCTAAATGAGTTCAAAAGATTTTTCTAATGTTGTTACAGTGGGGTAAAAAACCCCACAATATGAGGTCCATGTGCCTGTTCAATAATTTGCTTTGTAAAGATTGGAGCATGGAGCTTTGTTTTATCATGCCTTCTGTGAGGCTTTCCAGTACTTGAATGTTTATCCTTAACTGCAAGTTCCAGTTTTCAAAGACCAGAATACCTGCCTCTACCTGAGAAACAGGTAGTTACAAATGACCGCTTGTAGGTATAACTGCTGACAAAAGCAAAGTTTAGGGAAAAAAGTGCAAGTATTGTGAGACTATGGCCATTTCCTGTGGTTAAAAAACTTCTCTAAGCTTGCCTAAAAATGTGAAATATGCTGAGAGGAGAAGCCAAAAATCCTTCCTTTGTAGGACCCTCCCAAATATCTGGAATTTCTTAGCTTTCCTGAGCATGAGAAAGAGATTTTTCAATCAAACATTCATCCTTGACATGAAAACACTGAATGCCTTTTAAACTGTCTCAGATTTCTAGCTTGAGTTTCCCTAAGTTTGTGATTTCTAACCTCTACTGCCACCTGTAAAAATGAGACAAATAGTTTATTGCAGTATGCTGAAAAAATTATTTTTCTATATATGCACTTCAAAAAAATAYCCTAAATTCAGTGGAGGGTCTGGAAAACAATCTATAATGAAGTATAGATGTATAATTTGCATTCATATGTAATATAATTTGCATTCACATTTGCCTCATAATATATAACATTGTGAAGAYCAAATTCATAGCAAAGGCATTTAAGTGAATGTTACAGACATGGTCTTAGACTGAGCTGATAAGGAAATGTATAAAAGCTTTATGAAGTATTAATTCAGTCTTGGTGCACAGTAGATTTCACTGTGAAAATTATGCTCCCTTTGTGAAACACAATGGAAACTGGAAAGCTTTACTAGAAAYAAAATAGCAGTTGTCTAATCATTATAGCACAGAGTAACTATGCTTTCTAGATCAATCATTTCTTTTTCAYATTCTTGATTAATTTAGAAAAAWTAGGTGGGTTTTTAATAACTCTAGCTTTCTTATTAGAAATGTCTATGTTTGAGGCAGAAATGGAAAAATGGTAAGAAAAATAGCATGCCTTASTATACTGGAGCATGTTGCTTCCAGAGCTGTTCTGGAGCTGGCAKCCACTGGGAATGCTGCTCTGCCAGTGKCACTGACATGGTGAACTGACAGGTGACTAATAACAGAGTGCCCAGCACTGTATGTCTGTCCCCAGAAAGGAATTTGTACAACTGCTTTAAAACTTCCTACTGCTGACCTTGTGATAGTCTACACCAGCCTATCAAAGGCCTACACCAACAAGAATTGAAAATCGAAGTATCAGTTCCTGCTCCAAGTATGCTGTCAGAAATGAAATGAAAAGGGCAGATTTCAGGGTAGTTTCCTACACTGAATCCCTTCCAAATCAGAATGATTTGGATATTTATTTCTGTCAAATACAGACAGAGATAATGCAGAAGCTATTTTTACCATAGATAAGTTATTACTCTAGTTCCACTATTTTTTTGAGGCTGATGTGGATTTAAGTTTTTGTCTATATTTAGCTAGTAATCATTTCAGAAGAAAAAARCATCTCTCTGTTAAGAGATCAGTCAGGTTACAAAATGCAGCATTTAAAAGTTACTAAGAGACAAAAAGTACAGAAGCATATGTACTGTTGAAATGCTAGTGAGAGACAAATACCACCAGCATACCTGAATGCCTCCAGCTTAATTGGGTCAACTTGACAAAACATCTGTGAGATCAAAGAGAACTATGATCCCCATTTCACCCATAGGAAATTAAGTGGGAGAGTTTGTGCATGGCTAAGGCGCATTTAATTCTTTCATTTAGTTTTGAAACATTACTAGATTATTTTGATTTAGGGCCASTGACCTCTCTCCCCAAAGAACAGCTGGCAAAACCTTTAACTGAMTCATTAGTATTTGTGGTTGATGCTGAAGGGGATGATCCTGCCCTCTATCCTGTCCCAGGCCATGTTCTCCTGGTGCTTTTCTTGTGTTGGATCTAATAGTTGTGCCACCAGATTCACATGCTGAGCCAGCAGCTGCTGCAGTGCCATTGCAAGATGTGACCCAAATGGAAGGGGGAAATRCACAGGCAGGGATGGACAAGGCAGAGCAAGACAGACTTTTGTGACAATCTGCACACGTCAGGTGTACTGGTGTGAAACCACACCCTGAARACTTTTGACTCCTATCAGCAGATGTTACTCTTACTGCAAGCCAGAGATATGTCTGGCAACAATCTGGAATGTTTAGAGCAGGGCACCTRCTTTGGTGGAGGTACAGGAATGCAAACAGATTGCTACCACTTCTCACATCCAGCTCTCTGRTGGGTGGTGAGGCTGAGAGATAAGATACTTTGTGGGACCAGGGACACATCTAATAGATTATGCATCTCATACAAAATGCATCCATCTAACAGACTGCGGTTTAAAAAAAAAAAAAAAAAGAACTAACCACATTAAACAGAAGTCCTGTMAGCATTGCATGTGAGGCAATCCTCCTTGTCCATTCAGACCTGGTAAARTCTGACACAGCTGAAATACTGTGACCAGTTCTGGGATGCTTAAAAATGTTTGGAAAGGTTCCAGAGGCAAGTGATAAAATAATCAGAGGCCCAGCAAACACAGTCTCTTATGCTGGAACAGCTTTAGTGAGGCATAACAAATTTCAAATATRTAACAAGTACATAAAAAGGAAGGGAATAAGCTGTTCTCCAGCACAATGACATGAGAGCTGGAGTTAAGTTGCAGCAAAAGAGACATCTTTTGRTTAAACTTCATATAGCCATCTTGTAATAGTAAGAATACCAAAGTACTGGCACAGGTCACTTAAGGAAGATGTAGAATATCTGTATTTAAAAGGTTTTAAGGGTATATATAACAAACATTAGCCTGTAAAAGTATTTGTCTTAATAGCCCCTGCATAGTTTGTTGGCTGCTGAATTCGGTTTCTAWGAATTCTGTATTAATTTTCTTCTATGGTTTACAACACTAATAAATAGCTCTTACAAASTGAGAATTWTATCTCTGGCATTCTCTCTCAATTCAGGCGCTTGACAAACTATTGTTTCCCTCCCAATCAAAATTCAGATGTCAAACTTCCCAGTCCATGTAAATCACTAAAATATTACTTCTAAAACTCACTATCTCATGTCTAGATCAAAGCTGAGTACTCTCTGGGCCTTTCTGCCAGGGGTGCCTGTCCACCTCAGCTTGTGGAAATTGCTACTGTGAGAAAACTCTTCTGTTCCATCACCCTCTGAGGTTCCCCCAATCAGCACCCGCGGTCCCTCTCCCTCCCTGTCAGGGTTTCATTCTTCTGCAGGGTTCTTAAGACAAACATCTGAGCTCTTGGCTCTATCAGACCACTTGCTGCCTCTGCCTTTATTTTTATTCCTTGTTACGTGACTTTATGTACTGAAAACATATTATCTCCGCCATTTTTGGGGCCTCTGTCCCCTTTAATATTTAAAGTTATTCTTTCTAGACAACTTTCTGACTTTTTCSTCATCATTTCCACATAGTCAGTTTTCTTCATAAAGTCAATATTTGACACATTTTTGCTTTTTGTGCTTAAGCATGTAATCAGACAGTCCTATATACTAAAGACCATAAAGACATTTTGTCCAACGGGCAATTTATGATTAGATTGCTAGAGCAGCAATCCTATGCCTTGACCCCCGTTGAGGTCTCTGCGTCGCGCTGCCCTCTCAGCCTTAAGCAAAAGAGGAGACCCTAAACTGTAGGGGAAAACAAACAAAAAWATCAACAAKAACATTCCTTGCTTTCCTCCRCGAGCAAGGCAGTAAAAGCCGACAAAGGGGAAAAGAAAACCAAAAAACTGAATGACCCCGACGTGATTCGAACACGCAGCCTTCTGATCTGGAGTCAGACGCGCTACCGTTGCGCCACGAGGTCCTGCTGGGCAGCCCCMGGCAGAGTGTTAAAACTCTCCCGCCGCAGGGGCAGAGTGAGGGGCGAGTGAGGCCGGAGAGGCCGAGGCTCCTGCCCGTCTGCCGCAGCACCCGCACCCCTGCACCGGCCCCTCTGCTCCGGCCCCTCTGCTCCGGCACTCCTCCGTTACCGCCTCCCCGCGCAAGTGCGTGAACCTTCCCCACCCACACTCCCGCTAGTGGTCTKCAGCAGCAAGGGCCTCCCGGTCCCGCTCCCTGGTGGTGCCGTGCTCGCCTCACACGCCGTTGCCGCCGCACACAGGCTCGTCGGTCCATGTTGCCGCTGCCGGAGGTCGCTCCTGCTGCCCCTCCRCCGGCGGCATTGTGTTACAAGGAACTAACAGGAACATGACCGTGGGGATTTGATAAAAGCGGTTCCGAGACACACTCAACCAGGCAGCTCCTCGTTAGTATAGTGGTGAGTATCCCCGCCTGTCACGCGGGAGACCGGGGTTCGATTCCCCGACGGGGAGGCCACAAGAACGTCTTTTTTTTTTCCTGCAGCGGGCGGTTCCTTTGCCGTCAGCATCAACCGTTCGCGTGGGGCGGGGCAATAAAAAAACACGGCTCACGAATGGAGCCCTCCCCGTCGGGGAATCGAACCCCGGTCTCCCGCGTGACAGGCGGGGATACTCACCACTATACTAACGAGGATGCGCGGGAAACCCCACCCCGCGGGGGCTGCTGCCGCTCGGRCCGGCCCGTGGCGCATGCGCGCGTGGGTGGGGCTGGCGCGGGGAGCGCTGAGGGGACAGGGACAGCGCCCACCCGCCTGCATCCCGCCCGCGGTGGGGCTGGCACGGGGAGCGCTGAGGGGACAGGGACAGCGCCCACCCGCCTGCATCCCGCCCGCGGTGGGGCTGGCACGGGGAGCGCTGAGGGGACAGGGACAGCGCCCACCCGCCTGCATCCCGCCCGCGGTGGGGCTGGCACGGGGAGCACTGAGGGGGACAGGGACAGCGCCCACCCGCCTGCATCCCGCCCGCGGTGGGGCTGGCACGGGGAGCACTGAGGGGACAGGGAAAGCGCCCACCCGCCTGCATCCCGCCCGCGGTGGGGCTGGCACGGGGAGCGCTGAGGGGACAGGGACAGCGCCCGCCCGCCTGCATCCCGCCCCGGGTTGGGGCTGGCACGGGGAACGCTGCGGGGACAGGGACAGGGACAGCCCCACCCGCCTGCACTCCCGCCTCGCCGCGCAGCCGCACGCCGACCTCCGGGCACGGAGCCCTGGAACTGCCCGGCTGGAGGCGGGAGAGGAGGGGAGCGGGGCGGTGCCGGCAGCTCGGGTGTCTTTGCGTTTGTAGGTTTGCATCTCGTTCACGCAAGGGTTTCTTTTTACGGGAACCTGAGCAGTGCTGGAGTCAGCAATCCTGGAGCTGAAGGAACCCGAGCCCCTGCTCCTTACCTACCTAAAAATGGAACGAGGGAAATGGAAACCAACTACTTTGAGATTTGAGAGTAGAAGGACACGGGTTGACCATCTGGCTTGATGCTGACCCGGTCAGCAGAAACGTGGCTATGAGTTTGTATCAGGGTGACATTAGGCAAGAAACTATTTTTAATTTGCTGACTTCTGAGATGAAGAATTAACACCATATAGTAAACAAGCAATTGGAGCAAATGGTACTCGCTTTTGATGGCCTTGACTACTGCTAGTATCTCTTTGGATAAAAGAACCCCAGCTTAGATTTTTCACATAATTATAGCTAAAGAGCAAATAGTACCCTATACATAGACTTCTAAATATAAGTGACCTAGAAACGATGCATTTCTGAGAATTGGCCTACTCGTTTAAACATTTGAATATAAACATGTTTCTCAGTGAATGCAACAGATTCAAATTTTGTCCTGATAAGTGAAAAATAGCAGCTACTGTCTCTCAACGGTTTCAGTACTTTAGATGTAGCATAATGAGTCGTATTGCTGTAATCTGGTGATAGGCTTTAAACCTCCCAGAGCAGAATCAGAACCAGTGTTGCCAGACTGGTCTACTCCTGCTCTGCAAGTTCAAATTTTATTCAGAAGATGTTGATGGTTCATTTGAAGCTGGGAGACTTTCTGGTGAATCAAACATTGCCTGTTTGCATTTTATGGATGCAATTACACATGGTTTGCATCTTTTTGCCTGTAATTTCTCAGTTCCTGCTGTTCATTAACCCTTGCAGTCAGGGAGCTGAGCTTCAGACATCTGTATGTATGCCGACCAAGAAGATGACTTGTCCAAAAATGCCTAAGAAGGGGAGCAAGAACAGACATGGAGGTTTGAGTCAGCACAGTGAAAGGGCTGTTTTGAAGTGGATGGATTATTATAAGACTGCAGTGATTTACAGTWAGAGCAAATGCATTCATTGTTGATTTGTCACAGAGACAAGCARATGCAAAGCAGAACATGTACAGGGAACTACTGTCAGTGCTTCAGGATCTGTGGAGGCTCTGTCTTCTCCTCAGGATCTGCATACAGCTATTGTATATGTCCAGATCTAACAATCTTGTTCCACGACTTCCTCATCATTGCACCAACTCTGGGTTTAGCTTGTCCCTAGCAGCTGCTGAAAGATGCTGGAGAAAGTCACCTGGAAGAGGCCCTTTACAGCCATAGGCAGGAGTAGGGCTGGGGTGTAGTGCATTATTGTATCTGGATGCTGGTTAATTCCCCTTCAGTTTGCTAAGCTGAAGCTCATCTTGCAAAAGTCCAGGTGAGTTTTGAATGTTATGGATGGGAAATTCCACTACCTCTTTGCCACAACAGGATGTCTGGCTCCATCTTCCTTATTCCCTCCCAGAGGGTAGCTGGAGACATAAGTTAGATTATCCCGTAACCTCCCCTTCTACAGGCTGAACAAGCCAACATTTCTCAGTCTCTCCTTGCTTGTCACGTGTTTCAACTCTCTATTCTTTTGGTGACCTTCAGTAGACTAATTTGAGTTTGTTGGTATCTTTCTGGTTTCACAGTGCCTTGGACTGTACACAAGTCTTCATAGAGAACCTCACAAGTGCCAGAATGGTATGGGGGCAATAATCACTTCCCTTGATCTTCTAGCTGCGCTGCTACTGGGATTTCCTAGCGTATCATTAATTTTCATTGCTATAAGAGCAAGTCTACACTTCTTGTTCACTGGGACCTGCAGGAATTTTTCTGTGAAGCTGCTCTTTACATTGTCAGCTCCTGGCTGTGTGGTTTGTTATATCCACAGTGTAGGACTTTATGTTTGCCTTAATTGAATTGGGAGAAATTCATACTGCCCCACCTCCCAGAGCCTTTCAGAACCCTGCTAGTGACATCCCTGGCCGTGAGGGAATCAGCTGCTCCCCTCAATTGATGTCATCCACCCGAGGCACCTGCTGATATCTGTTTGCCTTGGCAAATAACATACATTGTTATTGGCATATTGAGGTTTGGCACAACTGATATCATGGCAGTGTGATCCCTCCACTGTGATGGAGCCTCCTGTAGCTGCAGAAATTAGTTCTTCTAAATCAGTGACAAAATGCAAATCCTAGGTGAGGAGTAAAGCCTTTTACTAGGTGTGGTCTTTAGGATGCCACAATCCTGAACAACTGCTGCAAATGGAATATATTTGATTCTGATTAATCTTCATAGCTATTTTGTATCCTCTTGTTCCTGTCCATTCACACATATCCAACACTCCATCTGCTCTTTGTGTTTTCTTTTCCTTTTAATTTTTGTCTGTATCCTCATTCTGAAGTTCACAGCACAAGATTTAATGAGCTTTTCAGTAAGAATATGAGTTATCAAATGGCATCTGAGGTTACAGGGCTTCTTTCTGTCCAATGTAATGGGTTTGTAGTGCGGTCTGTATGACTCAGTGATTTCTTTGTGTGCTAATGGATTTTGATTAAGCAAAATGAATTTTTACAAGTTATTAGAAAAATCAATTTACATCACTTAAGGGAAGGAGTGATCAGGCRTCCCGTGTGAAATGAATGGCTGAAGAGCTGAAAAGATTCCAGGTAAAGAGGACTGTGACACTGTCGGTCAGTGCCTGGGGGATTAGTGGGAGGAGGGATTTAAGGGGCTTTCCCCTATTAGCTTACCTTAGGTTATGTAGTACTAAATGAGCCACAGAGCTGGGCAGCTTCCCCTCGGTGTTGAGTCATGTGAACTGTGTAATAAATGGAGCCTTTTCGAGACTTCTTGGAGGAATCTCAGGGCTTGAATATTTATGTCCTAAGAATTTTGAAATAAAACCCACGAGAAGTGCCCATTTAGAATTGCATTTCCTGTTTAGATAAGAAGTTGAACAGTTGAGTCTGGCCATTTTTATTCCTCTAGCATGGTTTACATCCAGTGGATGCTTCCAATAAGAATAAATTAATTCTCAGAAGGAATCTGCATTGTCATCATTTGTCCTGAGAAGGGATTGCCAGACAAATGTATTAAGAGCTACCATAAAAATTGGAAGATGAAAGCCAAGAAAAGTAGAGGCTGGCTGGTTTTAATTAATAATTTCAACTTTACGATAGGAAAAGCTGAGAGGTCCTCTTCAGAAATAGAAGGATAAGACTTGGGAACTGAAACAAAGATGACTGGAGTTTGTGTGCTGAATAAACCCTTCTATGTGTATGAGATACATTGTTTCAGAGCAATCTCAGAACTGGTTTTATACAGCAAAGCTTTTAAACATGTATCAGGACACCCAAAAACCAAATAGATTGTGTACTAATCTAAGTATTCCTGTGCAGTGTAGTTCTGGATACCACAGTATGTGTACCAAATGAACAATCATGACTTTCTAGCTGTGATGAAAGACTGCATAGACTAAAAAATTTCACCGTTGGTGTGACTTGGTTTGAAATACGGCATTTCTTAAAATCCTGAAAATGTCAATGACTAGCTTCAAAATAGACCTGTCACATAATGCCTATAAAGGAAAATTCTAGGAATAAACTTGAAAAAAAATCAAATACTCTAATATACAGTTATACTATAGCAATCAGGACTGACTCTCACATCATATCCATTCTAGGAGTAAACAATTGTTATAAAAAAAAAAAGTCACAAACCCAATAAAGCTAATTGAAGTGTAGAGATGGGAAAAACACAGGATAGCCAAACCCACAGAAAGTAAAGCAGGAAAAAACATCATACACTGAAGTCAAGTAATGCAACAAAGATGTAATGAGATAAAAGCATACACAAAGAAATTAATTCTACTGTAAAGAGAATGGGGAAATATTTAAAGGTATTGATTTTACACAACCCTAAATGAGKCTATATGCAATGAATTTAACCTGGAAAGCATCACAGTTTTATGCATTTCAATGCTTACTCAATATAGATAAGTATAGGCCACATTATTACAATGGGGAAACTGAACAATGAAACCAAAGATACACAGGGAGGAGTTACTGTTAAAAACAAAACATCTGTGCTTGCATAAGGTATGAAATAAAAAATACAGAAAAGATCCTGCAGAAGACAGGAAAAAACCCCAAACATCCTGTTACTTCAGAATGTACTAATGTTCCAGACCTTAAATAGTGCTTGCTGTTCTCTAAGTTTGACAGAGTACACTGCTGTAGTATTGAAAAATCAGAGGGTAAAAAAAAATCAGAGTGCAGAGCCAAGAATGAATAGAAATCAGTTTGGTTTTTATCTAGTAGTTACTAGTTTCAAGGTCAGTTACCTTCACCTTGAAAACACTGTCAGAATGTGTAGTGAAAGTATAAAGGGAAATTTCTGTATGTTTTGCTGCTTTTGTAAAGTTTATGAGAAGTTCTAGCATGACAGAAAGATATGCATCACTGAAAAATGTATCAATGACTAACTAAACTCAGWGTTTAGAAAACACTGGACCCGACAGAGAAAGCAGCATTGTGAGCAGATATCAAAACATCATAGTGCATTATCAGGTACATTTTGTCTGTGAAACACTGAACACTAAGCAGGAAGTGTAACAAATGACAGTTTGTAATTGTCTAAATACCRTATGAGTTAATGGAGCTTGTATGAAGAATGTAATTTCTATTAGCAATCTTACTTTAGGAGTTCAACTAGAGAAGACCTTCAGAATTTAGTCAGTTTTGGAAAAAAAAAAGAAAAAGAAAAAGAAAAGGTAAATGCTAAAAAAATCAAAAGTGCTCAGGATAGTCTCAGCAAAAGACAAAGTTGGCAATTTATTTATTTTTACAACCAAAAGCTAGATCAAACTTACCAGCACTCTAGTACTTTGTGGTGTTGGCTTCACTGTGCATTCCTGATCCTCCAGTCTCCACCTGTTGGTGCTTCATTGCATTTTTCATGGGGAGCAGAAGAACAGCTTCCTTTTCTCGACAAAACTGTGGCTTCATGGGGTAAGAGTTTCCTCCCTTCTCCTTTCTTATGATACAAGAACCACGCTGGCATGGAAACCAGCTTTTTTTTTTCCTTACTTAGGTGTATACTCCAATGATTGCAGTAATCCATGTGCACAGGGAAACCTTGAGAAATCCTAGGTGGTCTTTGTAACTATTAAAAACCAGAACAGCATAATTCTCATTTCAGAAGATGATTTTTATCTTTACCATGTATTGCACTATTACTCCTACATCTCACTTCTCCACTCAGAAGACTTTTTGTTTTCCTTTTTATTACTCTTCCTCTCCCCTCCCCYCCGGTTTTGTTTTTGTGTAAGTCCATTTCCTTAGGAAAAAACAGGATGCCCTATGTCTTATCCAAGTTGTGGGAGTGCAAAAGAGTGACCTAAAGGCTGGAAAAATCTACTGGTCCTGTTCAGCCATGCCAGTGCTGAGATTGGCTTCTTTGCGTACTGACACAATTTTTCGTGGGTGAATGAGCAGTAGAAGGGAAATGCATTCATTTCTAGTTTTGGCAGATGGACAAAGGAAGATGATATAAAATAAAATATTAAAAAGTCATTACAGAAATTAATTGCCATTTTAAAAGTTATTAATGATTCTCACAGGAGAGAGAAAACCGAATATGCACATTCACCAGAGATGGCTCAGGATGTGATGGCTGGTTAGCTGTCTCGCTCCATTGTAAAAGCCTGACACTTAAAAAAAAAAAAAAAAACAACCAAAAAAAACCAAAAACAGAAATCGATCATAGAGCACTTTAAATTTGAAAAAGAGATGAATATTTAAAGTCAGTTGAATAACCAAAACAACAAATGAGGAACTGGTGAGAATTCTATGCTGGAGCAAAGTTACTTGAAGTCAGAGTTTAACACTGCTGTGTATCTGTAATATATTTCCTGAAAATCACCAAAATACTTTTTAATTCTAGTACAATCAAAGAAAAAGCTTTTAAAGRAAAGATATCAGATGCATTGCTATAGGATATTTTACAGCTTTCTTACAGCTGGTGTGGAGGAGATGGTGATCTGCAACCACTGTTTGGAAATACCAGTTTTAAGAAATGAGAAAAAGGCTGAGGAATTGGTGTGGGGCAAAATATGAAGGGAGACGTTGTCAAGGTGATAATAAATAAATAAATAAAACAAGGGGTTACTGAAGTGCAGTGTAATGCAAAATAATGCATTTCCAGAGGGAAAAAGACATAAGCATGGTTGTTTATAATTTTTAATGAATTTACATTATTGATTTCCATTATGTGTTATTTTGAATGTGAATAATTTTGCTTCAAAAGGCACAATCACCATGCTCCAGAAAAATAGTCTCTATATCTTTTCAGTCTGTTATTTTGCAGGATAATTATCTTTCCCTAAGTATTTTTGGGGTTCGATTTTTTTTTTTTTTTTGGAACGTATAATTTCAAGTTTTCAATTGCACTGGCTCCCTCTGGTGGAATTCTGAATGCTCTACTTTACAATCCAGTAAAATTACAAACTGACACTTAGATAGAATGAAATGTGAGTATACTGTTTTATGTATTTTTTCATTGAAAATAGGAAAATCAAAGAATCATATTTCATAAATCCAATTCAATTTACACAAATGAGCTCATAAAATGAAATTATAGCAATCTGGGTCAAAATAGCTGGAGAAAACCTCTTTCATTTCCCCTCCCTCCTGTTCTCTTWACTAAAACCATGGATAGAATTTTGCTAGTAGGCGTTTTGAAAGGAAGGGAGTTACAAAAATGTCCTAACTATGGGACTGGGCTGTTTTACTTGGCAGCAAAAATCAATCAGTCTCTTACAGGAAGTTTTCATAGGAGAATTTCAGTTTTGAAATTAAGTCATTTGGCAGCTGTTGCCACTTTCATCCTGAGAGTTCTCACCAGAGCTGAACCAGATGAACAGTCCATTTGTCCATTTGTTTTTAATAATGAAGAGAGAAAAGAGAAAAGAAAGGATAAAAAGGAGCAGGAAATGGGAAAACTGTTGGACTATTTCCCCTGTTTATGCATGTGGGAAGGACTTATACTTTTGAGGATTTTGAAAAAAAAAAATGAAACTAAGCCTTTCACCTAGAGTTGGGTAACTGTGTGGTTGCCCTTTCGCCATGTAGCAAGACTGACTGAGAGGACAAAAGTTTTAAAGTTGCATCAGCACTCCATCCCWGTCCCCAGGCTCTGCAGTGTAAGTCCTCATTTCTGAACATGGTAGGTTTCCCAAATGAATGCATGTTCCTGCCTCTTCTTTTATTTAATAGTAACCAAGAGTTCAAGAAATCTTGCCTGGAGCCATAAAAGAGAAGTACTTTTTTGTCAATTTGATTCTGCTGTATAATAGGTTGACACACTGATACAATTTTAATTATAGCACTTTAGAAACTCTGAAAAATGAAAGCAGGAAAAAGTCAAGGTTTTCTGTAGATTAAGTTTCATATTGAAGAAATTGTGTAGGCTCCTCTGTTTACGTGGATGAGGGGGGCACAGTATTTTCCGACATAATTTAAGAAAGTTAAAAAGGAAAATGCTGAAGATATTTTTRGAACCATTGTTCTCTAAGTGGCATRAAGACAGCTRTTTGAAAGGACTTTAGTGCTAAATACCAATACTATTTTACCCTTTTGACAAAATTCAGCTGAATATATCAAATTTCTGCTCAGTCTGACACAGGCAAAGTCCTGACCCTACATATTCCTCTGTTTAAAGAAAAGAATTTAAACAAACTTATTAGATAACTCTCTTTTTATGAACTTATTGGTCCATGGAGTCTGCAACTTCAGCTTTTCAGATTTTTTTCAGACAGGTTATTTCAGATTCTCACATGAACTCCACAAYCAACAGTATTATGAGTAAGAGCTGTCCATCTGCAACTAGTGTATGTAATTCTGAAAGTTCYTGGGACATTCCTTTAGCTGGTAAGACACACAATGTCAGATAAGAAATATATTGCACATGTCAACATGGTACTCTAAAACATTTGATATGGACTTTAGTATTGTTAAATCTTGTTTCTTCTTCTGCAGAAGTCCTGCATTATTCAGCTAATCCTTTACATGACATTCCCACACTGAATGTTTATTTTATGTCTACAAACCTCACTAGTTTTGGACAATGCCTTTTTTTTTTTTATTTTTCTTAAATCAACTGAGCCAGTAATTAGTTACCAATTTTTAAATAAATCTAGCTTCTGAGCCAAGAAAATATATAAGAAGTTTCAGCTATGTTTAAAAAGCAAAAAATATTGCAAGTGTGCATTAACAATGGAAAGTAATTCACAACGTTCATAACATATGATTAAAAGCTGAGATTGATTATTTATAGCTAAACACTGTCAAGAGCAGTATGTGTTWATCAGAGAACCTGATAGATTGTGCAGTCTTAGGTTAGGTTCATGCTAAGGAGACCTGTACAATGCAAGAAAAAAGAGATGAAGAATGAAGATAATATTTAGAAACTATTTAGATCAGTCTGGGAATCTGGCCAAAAGAAGTATATTCAGGGCAGAAGTTGTATCAGAAGATAGATMMATGGATTGATTGATTGATCAATCTKCTGGTCATCACTCTTATTCAGAAAAATATCTTTTTATGCCCAGAAGACATAAAAATTTGACCATCATGTTGAATAACATTGTGTTTTCTTTGGATGAAAGATTAAAATACGAAATGACACAGGTTGGGTCTTTTTAGGTAAATGAATTATGGACATCCTATTACAGCTTACATTCTTATCATATGCCACTCCCTRTAACTGCAGAGTGTAGTAATCTGTTTTCCCTACATTTGCAAGTGAGAGAACAACTTACTCAAAAATGGGCACTACAGGGCTATAATATTTCTGTTCTTTTAACAATAGATATGCTTGTGTGTAAAGTTTAAATCTAGACCTGAGTTTGCTTACAGTTTAGGGAGTGTCAGGAGAGCCCTGCAGCTCTGCAGACCGGATGCAGAACTTSAGCTGAGATATTTGGGAGAAGGATGTTGTGGATAGATACATATCTCAGATTCCAGTACCTTTGTGTTTCAGGATGCAKTCTGAATTTGGGTGTTGCCTTGTGCTAGTTCCATATTTAAACTTCCTCTGTGGCAAAACAATTACTTAGTTTGAGATTTTGGTGAGTGAAATAAAAAGGATTCATGACTTTTGAAAAGACAAGGTAGTGAAAGCTGTAGGGAAGAAAATATACGCAGAACTCATATAAAGAGGATATGAATTTTGGAATGTTGAAACTCCAGTTTCTGCAGACCATAACCTGTATTTCCTTAATGTGTTCAAATAATACAGCCAATAAATGGCTGTTTGCAATATGCTCTCTCCTTCTGACAGGTCACTTTCTGAAAGGGAAAACAGCATGAAGTTATGCATGAGGAATGGCAGTTTAATAGCTGGTCCTGCATGGATGGATATGGTCCATAAAAAGGACAGGGATGTGTGGTGGTATCAGGGCTGTCCAACAACAGCAGGCGTGCCATGCACACTGTCAAGAAATCAGAGATCTCAGTAGGTGCCTGTGCCTACATTCATCATCCCTCTCTGCATGTTAATGTGGTGCCCAAATTGTGGCTGCTTCTGTCCTGGCTTCTGACTGCAATACTTAATGAGAGAACTGTGAACACTCCCTCCCTGTTTAGGCACTTGTGCTGCTTTTGCCTGGGCTAATTTTCTTCATAGTGGCTGGTGTGGGGCAGTGTTTTGGATTTGTGCTGGAAGCAGCATTGATAACACAGGGATCAATGTTATCAAAGTTATCACAGGGCAGTGCTTACAGAGAGTCAAGGTCTTTTCTGCCTCTACCCGTCAGAGAGGAGGCTGGGGGTGCACAAGGAGCCAGGAGGGGACACAGCCAGGACARCTGATCCCACTGACCAAAGGRATGTTCCAGACCATATGGCAGCATGCTCACATGCACAGCTGGGGAAGCARGAGGAARTGAGGTACATTTGGTGCTTGTCTTMTCAAGGAAGCCTCGCTCATGGTGGACCCCTGCTCTCCTGGAGATGGCAACACCTGTCTGCCYTGGGAAGCAGTGAATTAATCCCTCCTTTTGTTTTACTTGTGTGAGTGGCTTTTGCTTTATCTGCTAAACTGTCTTTAACCCAACTCATGAGTTTTCTCACTTTTCCTATTCCCTCCCTGCTGCCACTGTGAGGAATTGAGTGAACAGCAGCCTGGTGCTGAGTTGCTGGCTGTGGTTAAAACACAGTAGACAGAGAGAGAGCAT